AATTGGTCACCACTAAACATGTTTCAATGTATATACCTGCCCTTAAGGATAGTTCAAATATTTTGAGTAACAATCTGATCATGCCATTAAGTATCTGTTATCTGTACCAGAACTTACACTAAGATTAGGGTTTGCATGACAGTGGATATTACTACGATCAAAGTTAATGGTGTTGAGACTAGTTTTGGTGATGAAGCCGGTATTAAGCAACAGGATATGAGATGTATTTGAAATTTGGGTGAACCAGTCATCTAACAGTTCATAAAAATTTGTATAAAGTGAATGTCATAATTTTTGCTCTTTCTTATGTGCTTTCTGAGGATATTACAGAGTTATCGCTCTCCACTTAGCCAGTGTGTATATACAGTATAGCCTTAGAAGCGTAGGAATATCGCTCACGGAAGTTAGAAACACTAGAGCATCGGTATTATAAGTGGCACTGGTTCATTATACCAGTGACTGAACATAAAATCACTGAGAATACTTAGATTGAACATTTGACACTTGAACAGGATCAGGAATGGTCAACTAGGAAACACTCATATCAAGAGAGCATGGCTCGGTCTTGGGGGCTTCTTCTTCTTTCCTTATCCATTAAAATATTTCATTCTCAGCCCAAATGTATCTATGAAAATTTCCAAACAGTATACTGTGACATGTCACGAATGGACGAGTTGGTAAAAACAACGATGTGGCTTACACGCAATACCTTATAGGTTAGGTAGCCACATGATCGAAAGCCTACAGTTGTGAAATGGGCCTATCACTCTAGTAGCATATATGAGTTCACCTATGCTAATATAGACTCTAATCATACCACGTGTTCGTTTTGAAGTAGACAACAAGGGTTTGTATATGTTAGTTTGAATCATTTAGCTTCTAGAACCATTGAGCGAGTTTTTAAGTAAGCTAACGTTGCCGTTTCTAGTGCTCGATGGGGCTAAAAGCCGTGCATGTGTTGTGTCCGTTGTGTCCTGATTCTTGGAACTTTTAAGGTCCACTCTAAAATGCTTATTGGTCTCGATATGATTCATGGCGGAAAACAGGCGTTGCTGAACATTAGGATGATTGAGTACATTCAGTTCGATCTGTGTCATAGGGTTTACTGCTACCGTGGAAATATGAATGTTATGGTCTATGCGAGACTTCTGAGGACTATTGCAAAGACTTTGTTCTGAACGACCACAACTTACAGCGCAGTTTCTGTTGAGATGAGTGATTAGGTCTATGCCGGTGCCGCTTGCACAATGCTGGGTCACCAAAAAGGTTTAACTGACTTGATATTCGGTAGTAGTTGAGAGCATGAGAAAGCGTTGAATGTCTACATCTGTTTCTTGTGGAATTTGGATCATTAGACACGTAGCCACAATCAAGGTGACTAAACAGCCAGAGATCTAACTCCAGTATAGGCAAAGAATTAATTATTACAGTGAAACAAATCTACTATTTAATTTTTGTATATTTCCCTGTCTGTGCGACAGCAGCAATTAGAGGTCCGATACCTTTTCAGACATAAGAATGCCAATCATGAAACTTAGCGAAGTAACCAAAAAAGGTGAATGGGCTAAAATCGATGTGATGAAACATGGATAATTGTTTATAATGGAATCATACAAGCTAGACATGTAATAATCAAAGTAATCCGCATAGTGGTGTAAAAACACATGAAGTTAAAAGCGAACTACTGACAAAGTCGAAAGATGTGTAAATAATGGCTTGACAGAATAGATTTGTTAGATTTTCCGAAAGCCAAAACAAGCCATGAAGGGTTGACATAATAGTACACACAGCAGGATATTCGGTTTTTGCAAGATGTAGGGGTTGGAACTTAAGATATATGCATTGAAATGCATAAGCTGAGTTGATCGATCCGAAAATTTGATGATAAAGTGTTGAGTAGTTATCCTGTCATGGATGATTCTTGTTTTTTCAACGATCTGAATATTCCTAAGAAATGAGTGATGAGATTCTGTGATATTATTTAACTGAAGGAGAATGGGACAGGATGTTTTGGTCTGGCCTTTACCCAATCTCTGTGCTACAAACCGTGCGTGAGAAAGTTCACATTATTGTAGTAGATTATTTTTAACAGGCTTTAGGCTAGCACTATCAGGTAAATCACACGATGACATTTAGCATATACTGAAATCTTTTCAACAATTCTGATTTGACCAATTTGCGTTTCCTGTTTTTGTTAAGTAATTATGAAACGAGTATTTTATGGGACAATTGCCAAGTATATCTGGTAATAAATCGTGAATATGTAAAGTCCTTGTGACAGTTCTTAGTATTATAACTGATAGAAGTGTTAGAAAATGTATCAAACTTGTTCAGTTCGACAAGGTTGATTATGGAATTGTTACAGATGGCCACTGGTGGTCAGTCTGTGCGTGATTAGTTGAATAACAAATGGTTTAATAACTAATGATGAAAACAACGATGGATGAGCTAGTTATTGAGAAAAAAGTTGGCTTAGGATTACCTCGACAACTCTAAAGAAACCAGTGCAGTGACCTTTTGGATATTCACCAAATACCATTATATCCCTGGAGGATGTAATTGCCGAACTTATGTATTTTATGGATTTCAGTCAAGTGTTTAACAAAATTTTTCCTCCAAATTTTAAACTAAAACGACAATAGACCTGATAGTTTCAGGTAGAAGGCATCTTATTAACATGAGAATATGTCAAAAGTTTAGTTGCCCACGGTGCCATCGTTGACTTTTTTATAATTTAATTTGTGTTAATTATATACCAACTGTATCAGATTAATCTTTTTTACTTTTTCCCGGTGACATCAACAGATGGAGGGAAATGCACTTCAGAGGTCATTAGGGGGCGATTGAAATCAACTGAGTGGATGGATAAACAGGTAGCGATTTGAATTAAAGCAATACAAATAAATTGCTGAGACCATATACATAACTCGACAATAAATAAGATGGAAGTTCTTGCAGCTACGGATTATAAAAATCTAGTAGTCTTAATAAGTAACGATATTGAAACTACAAGTAACAATAAAGCTGTCACTACAGAAGACTTTACGTCTTATCAGATGTTGTTAAGTCATAATTTCTAATATTGAAATTGTTTAGGATATTATGAACGAAGACAGTTGGGTCGTATTTGTAATATGGGATTCATCGACTTGGCAAAGGCCTTTGACACTGCACCCCACGCACGGCTAATCGAAAAGGTTGCGGAAATGGGCTTCATTGACCCACTCCTATCTTGGCTAAGAAACTACCTTGATAATAGAAAGTTTCGCACCAAGGTAAACAGAGTGCACGCGAGTTGGCGAGTATCCACATCGAGAGTTTCACAGGGGACCATCCTAGGCCCACTCCTCTTCCTGATATTTATTAACGACCTGCTAGGCTCAGTTAGCTCGCCAGCATTGATCTACGCAGACGATGCGAAGATCTGGAGGTCCATTAGAAGCGAAGAGGATTCCACTGAGCTTCAAAAGGACCTTACATCTATTGAGAAATGGGCAGTGAAAAACGGTTTAAGCTCAACCAACCGAAGTGCCACGTCATGCATTTCCTGCCTCAAATGACGCAAACGACCTATACTCTCAATGGAAGCCCGGTCCTTAATGTCTCCTCAGAGCGCGATCTTGGTTTAATAACCACAGAAAGCCTCCACACCAGTCCAAACTATGTGGGGGATGCAGCCAAGGCAAATGCGACTTTTCACTTTATGCGAAGACAGCTTGGTGCTATCACCCCGAAATTATTTTTAACCCTGTTTAAGACGTACGCGCGCTCAAACTTGGAGGTTCACAACGTCATCGCACCCCCTCTGCTTAAAAGAGACATAAATCTCTTGGATAGAGTGCGGAGACGAGTAACCAAATGGGTGGTAGTGTTGAAAAATAAACCCTACGACGATAGACTCCAGCTCATGGGATTATTTCCAATGAGCTACAGGAGAATCAGAGGCGATCTGATTATGGCGTACACCATAATAAACACGCCAAACCATCACCACCACTCTCCTCTAGGCAATCCTTGAAAGATTGCACATCAAAGAGCAAATACTCAGATTCGTGCACACTTTTTCTCATTGCGAGTCGTCTCAACTTGGAATGCTCTGCCAGCCGAGGTAACCACAGCCCCCCTCAGTGGACTGCTTTAAGAAGAGACTTGATAATCACGTACTCACATACGGACTATCATCTCCCTCTTGGACAAGCTGTTCATGATGCATATCATGAGACCTGATAGTTGTTACCATTGCCATCACCTCAGATCACTCAATTAATTTATCTTGCCTATTACTTCTGTTTCCTCTCCCTTGCTTACACTTCGGTCCTCTCTCACAATCTTCACTACCAATTAACAAACTAAATTCATCTATATATTACTCAGTTCTGAAATTTTATTCATATTATCATTTTAATTTATCCTTATTATCCTTATTACTCGCCACATTGCAACTAACTGATCTCCGGTCTGGTAATGTGACGGCTGCTAGTATCCAGAAACCCTAGTGCCCTGAAACAAAAGTTTTCATTCCAATCCCGAGACATACAAACTCACAACCAACTGCCAACTGACTAGAATAAGACAGTCGAGTGGCTAGACCTCCATCCATTGGACATTACAGAACACCTGGAACCGTACCGAAAGAACAAACGCGAAGAAATCAAATTGGTTTACACTAGCTCGTGAAAAAGATATTGGATATTGGAAGCAGTGAGCCTTTGTTTCAAGCATTATACGGATGTCAGAACGAGTTCAGCAGTGGAGGGCCGGAGTAGTAGACTACCTCACTTACCTATTTAACGAATATACACTGAGAAGCTTAAACCTCAGGTAGCAGGGTAAATAATTACTGGCCTACGTACAGAGAACGATGATTTTCGTATTACTATGTTTTATCTTTTCCTTTCACTAAAGACTAATCGTCTGAGAGGATAATCTAAGAAAGTTCAGGAACTGAGATCAAATCACTTGTGTCTAGACTTTCGTTTGTCGCATTGAATTGTGCATTACTGAGACTAACGATTGGCCAGAAATAAACGCGGGACTCTCGAATTTCTTCATTGCCCGCCCCTTTTGAGAATGTTTTTGTAGCTTTCAGAATTTTTTTCCATTTTTTGTAGTTGAAAAATTTTTCACTTGATACAAGCAATATGTAAGTTAAAATCTGGGTTATATTTTTCTGAACATTTGGTTTAATTTGTCTTCGGCTCCTAAAAAATCTTTTGTAAATTCCTCGTACAACACTATTCATTCAATCGATCTTAGGAAAGTTTATCGGTTTTCTCCGTCTTTTACATAAATAAAGATTATTGATCTGAGTTTAACGTTTACAACATCGTTATTCACTCTTATTTTGATTTGTGGTTTGTTAGTGAGTGGAATGACCATAAAACATGGATTCAAAAAAGGGTTACACGAGCAAATAAAGCAGTTTAACAAAAGTAACTTTCCTTTCAACCACTTCGTTAAATCAGGCTTTATATTTGTACAATCTAGTCCGTTCTCTACATAAAGACTAGACAAACCTTCAGTGAGGATATAATCGATAACTAGTTAAATTACAGATACTGGTAACTAATAAATATCTATCTTGATTCATTGCCAGAATATTCACGCTAAAACCACAGCATGAAGAAAGACTCTAATCGAATGCACAGTTAGAGATGCTACAGCAGTAATTTTGGGAAACAGACTTTTGAGGTCTCTGTGAAAAACATTCTATTCCGCTGAACTTCGTATTATCTTTTCTAATCTGCCACTAGTTCGTTGTTTTGTGAAGCATAAGCTCAAATTTTAGGTCAAATCAATGTACATTTATCAGTTCACTTGTTCATGTGGAGCAGGTTATATTGGACGCACAAAGCGAGCCCTTTTGCAACTTATCTTCGAACATTACCCTGCCTAGTCTTTCACAAGATTAGAGAATCCAATAGAAAGCCTAATTTTAAACTGTCTGATTAATTCTCAACACTTCGCTCCTTTCAAAGCCCCCTTCAATATCACGTAGTCGGCCCAAAGGGATTTCAGATAAAAAGCTATGCGACAGTCTATTTCTGTCCACCAGTTCAAACCCAACCTTTGCATATTAAAACGATATGTTCAGTCGCGTATTCTTCCATTATTTGAAACTCCGCTCCTATTCCTCTATAATTTACGTGCTTCTTGAATGTTTGTTTTTCAAATTATTTTCAGTCATTTTCAAGTAGTTACATAGCTGTTAATTAGTCATTATTACAACTCTCATTTATACTTTCCGTAATGGATATCAAGTAAATGGTTATGTTAATTTTAGCAGTTGTAAGTAGCTCGTTATTACGCAACTTACCTTCATAACAATGAAAAGCCACTGCCAGTTGTATTTTCTATTATTCTACACTATTCGACTACCTGGTTGGGGTTCGCGCAACATGGTAACCGATGGTTGTAGACTTTAACTGACATGGCTAAAAATCATTTGCAGTGGTGCAGATGCATCCACTGTTTATCTTTACTCAAATTCTAATCTTCGGAATTGCTCATGACCGTTTTCTGTTTTTAAGGCTGTTGCTCACTGACTAACTGAAGTTGTCGAGCGTGTCAACCGCTTCATTTATCTTGGAAGTTTCATCAGTCCTGATTGGCTGGTGTCTGACTATATTTCGACACGGATTGAAAAAGTTCAGTGGGGTTACACTGACTTAAGTTACTTGTGACTCAGGGGCGGTATTCAGTTGCTCAATTATCTGTAAATATTTTAAACTATTGCATAACATATAGTATGTTAGAGAAGGAGTTGAAACCATTTTCACTGCTATCAGAAAATATTCTAAATTGCTTTGATCCTTAACAGAGCTCTTTCTAAATTAATTTTCCGCGATAATGAACGACTCAACAAATGAAGATGTTTTAGTTTTATTTCGTTACACCCTCATCAGCTCTTTACAAGCCGTAATGTCTCAGAATTTAGTGTCCAGATAAAAGTTAATATATTTTTATTAGTAGAGTTGATGGAAATTCAGCAAGTAGCAAACAATCCAGACAGAATATTGAAGACAAATGCAAAAAAGTTCCTGTGATGTCAATGCGGGCAGTATGAGAACTTGTGACTAAAGTCTAGCGGATACGTAATCATATGATAGTACGCAAGTGTACGATGATTGAGAATAGAATGAACCAACGTCAGTCATTTGGAAATCAGATTATGGGCTAGAAAACAATTAATGGTGTAGGTAGGTGGCGGAAACCAAACGAAATAAAACAATGTTATTCTGTCCAAAATTTTACTTTTGCTCTTTTCAAGAGACCAAGTGCACAAAATTATTTCATTTAAACCAGTTAGTCGTAATCTCAATCCAAACCACAAATCTAACCAGATTTTCCATTTCTAAATTTCAGATTTACTGTTCACTTTAGAAATTCACTGCATTCTTCATTATCTTGAAAAATGTCTAGTACCGCTTTAACTGCAATTTCTGTGGCCATAGGAGTATTTTTCATATTTTTTGGGACGTTAAAGCTTGGTCCACTATTTTCTGATGAGCTTTATCGTAGTGTGGTAAATTCTTTTCGAGAAGAGATCTTACCTAATCTGTCCAACAGAGAAAAAACTTCATTAGGATGTTCAAAACATTTCCGTTTAGTTCGTTAACTGGTTGGAATCCAGATCCTCATGTAATTAGACGAGTTTATGGAACCACTGAAGTTGTCGGTGGCATTGTACTTGCAGCTTGTTCTGGAATTGCACAAGATATCAGCAATGTTATACTGCTAATTTTTATGCTATTCCATTTATTTAGTATTTGGCGTGTAGCAGATGGACTAAAAGAAGCTTCCAATATCATTGTTTTATGCTTGATGCTAACATGCAGATTTATTATACGGATTCAAGTGAGTTATTGTTAACTAAGCCTATGAAAAAATGATTGATTATATGCATGCCTATAGACAAACTGACAGTTTATTACGTATGAGTCCATCTCATTTAGTTGACATGTGGAATTCGACAATAAATATTGATAATATATAAAAGTCTTATTAAGTTAATTTAGTTTCAACTAATAGGTCGAAGGTCCAAATCCCTTTTTACCTTCTCTAGTTTTTTTCAGTCAGGTAGTATCGTTGATCTTCACACAAATAGTGTAGCTTAGAGTACACAAACCTTTATTTGGTAAATGAATTGCTATAAAAGTACAAACAGAGTGAGGATATGCGACCACTCTTATTCATTGGAATTAATATTTCCTAGTCCTGTCATTCTCTTTGATTTCATAATTAACAACACTATAGAAATAGCTTTGATGGATGTACACTATATTAGTTATCTCAACAGAAACATTATCAGTGTTATTACTTCTTATGCTGAATTACTCCGTGATTGGAAAGATAGTCAACCACTGTTTTTCTTTTCTCTTATTACTTAACTAAATTCAGAGTTTAATAGGTTCATTTGACATTTTCAGGCTCCTTCATTTGCAGAAAAGTAAGATTTTATTCTGCACATCGGCAACAGAGTGTAGAATGTGGTAGAGTACTCTTTGCTACTTAAAAATGAATTTTTAGTGTATGACTTAGTTCATGAGAATAAAGTAGCTAAGATGCTTTGGAATAAAAAGCTATCAATTTCGTAAATTCAAAACGACCACTCATCAAATCTAAATCAAATATATCTTGAGATGAAAACAGATACAATGGTTTGTTGTAAACACAATTTTGATTTATTCGTTAGGAATCAGATACAAATCATTACTAGCAATCAATATGTATCATATATGTGACACCTGTTACAAGTTTATTGATCATTAAGATTTTTAAACAGAGATTATGTTAATAATTCGTGTTATTCGCATATTGAGATAAACAGTGCTCAATAAACTCCACCTGGAGTCCCTCCGGAGCTACTGTCGGTCCCAAGCCTGGATAAAATAGGAGGTTCGAGCTTCGGGTTGGCAACCCCGTCCCGTAGAAAACCAACAAGAAAAAATTAATTCAAACCATTTAAACTCTGTCCTGGAAGTTAGAAGGTCTTTGTTTAGAAGAGTTATGACGTCTCATGATGAAAGCCGAGTTCCTTCGGAAGTCACGAGGCCTATGCCCTTTTGACAACCAGAGCCCTTCCACGGTGTGTGGGCAGCCGGGAAGTAAAATGTCGGCCCTCATACCATTAAAAACACACGAGATCAAATCGGTCACAATCAAATCCTTTCTACACGTCCTAATAACTTTTATCTCCATGACCAACCCTTCTTTGGTTTCTCTGTCATTTTGCGCCACTGATGCAATCGTTTTGAACTCACAAAACATTATTCCTAGTCTCCTAAAACCCCGCTCCGAACTACCTATTAAAGCTCGTAATGTCCGGAAATTGTGTCAAATAAGGCAACAGGAATCCGGTGCCATCGACATCTCCGAAACGCGCATACAGGATCCTAGTAAAATCATTAATTTGATTTCACCGTGTGCAAACAGAGATTCCACCCGGTCTACGCTCCGTGTATCTGGAAGCCCTGTTGCTACTTTGCGTGGCCTCTCTGGTGTAGGCGTAGTATCAAATCGTCAGGCTGAACTAGCTCTCTTAGACTGGATCCGGGCAGACAGTCGCTTATGCTCTGCCTGACGAAAAGGGACATCAAGGGCTCGTCGTATCTGCCTACGAAAGCTCGTGAAAAGCAGACTCGAGAAAACCAGTCTGGTTTTCGACCTGGACGTGGATGAATAGACCAGATATTCACACTACGACAGGTCCTAGAACATAGGTCTACGTTTAGACGTCCGACAGTAGTTGTATTGTTCGACCTTAAGGCGGCATTCGACTCCCAATCTTGAGGTTTTATGGTAGTATCTGTCATTAAAAGGTGTACCAAAGAAGTACATTAATCTTTTACAAGCTCACTGCTCGAACACTACCGGTTGAGTGAGAACTTATGGCGAACTGTCACTGCGATTCTTTACTTCAAGTGGTGTCCGCTAGGGATGCCTACTCTCTCCATTCTTGTTTAATTTTGTCATAGACATGCTTTTAGAGTTTACTTTATCTTCGTCTGATAGTTCAGAAGTGGACTTCCTACCAGGAGACGCGTTTGCGGACTTACAGTATGCTGATGACATAGTTATATTCGTTGAAGACGCTGACAAAATGCAGAGTCTTCTGACTACTCTAAGCAACAATGCAAGCATGTTTGGGATACGGTTCTCCCCGTCGAAATGCAAAATGTTGTTTCAGTATTCATCATCACCATCATCAACAGCAACGTAGAACTTTGCACGTAAGTAAACCAGTTCAAGTTGCCATACCACGTTAGCATAGAGGTATAATTATCAATTCAAATCCCATAGTAGTAGAGGTAGTAAAGGTATTAGAAGTAATCGGATAGATTAGCGTTCGAATATGTTATTCAAGAAGTATAATACAATGAGGTAAATTTAGAAAGAAAAGAAATGTAATTATCAATTCAAATCCTATTGTAAAAGAGGTAGTAGAAGTATTAGCAGTAATCGGAGAGGTTAGGGTTCGATGATATTATTCAAGGAGGATAATCTAGTGAAGTAAACGGAAAAGATAAGGGTGATGATTAATTCAGAAGGTTATAATTTCATAGAACACAAAGAGTAAATGCACGTACGCCACTGCAAACGGTTTTGAACCATGTCATTCAGGGTCTCTAACCACCGATTATTATCATCTCGCGGACCCCAACCAGGTAGCCTACATCTACCAACATGACTCAGTCCACTTGTCAGTGACTTTATGGATTTCTGCCATGTTTTGGTCCGGCCGCCCCTAACTTTCGTTCAACCTATTCCTATATCGCAAAACACAGCTCATCGAGGCAGTCGGTGGTTAGCCATACGCAGCACATGTCCTAACCACCTCAATTGATGAAGCTTCATTACTTCATCTGTTGACCTACCATCATTGCCTAGCACCCGTTTCCTAACAACAGCATTGGTTACTCGGTTGTCCCACGATACTCAAGCAGTGCTTCGGAGGCACCTACGATCAAAAACCAGTAACCTACGAATATCTTCTACTCTCACTAGCCATGTCCCACAGCCATATAGTAGGACAGAGCGAACTGCTGCGCAGTACACTCGTCCTTTAGTCAGCAAACGGATATATCGCCTTTGCCATAAATGACGCAAGTTGACAAAAGCCAATCGAGCTTTCTGTATCCGTGCCGAGATTTCGTCAGTCACCAGGCCATCGGCACTGATGAGACTCCCAAGATAAGTAAAGCGGTCGACACGCTCAACTACTCTACTCCCTATCACTAGTTCAGGTGCCGATGAAACCCAATCTTGAAGCAACACTGCATCTTGAGGGGGAAAACGGCATCCCGAACATGCTTGCATTGTTGCTTAGGGTAGTCAGAAGACTCTGCATTTTGTCAGCATCTTCACCAAATAGTACTATGTTATCGGCATATTCTAAGTCAATAAGCGAGCCTCCAGGTAAAAGGTCTATTCCTGAAAAATCAGACGAAGATAATGTTATATGATAAAATTAAACAAGAATGAAAAGAGTGGACATCCCTGACGAACACCACTTGAAGTGGAGAATTCCAATGAAAGTTCGCCATAAGCTCTCACTGGACCAGTCGTGTTCGGGTAGAGAGGTTGTATAAGGTTAATGTACTTCTTTGGTACACCTTTCAATGACAGACACTGCCACAGAACCTCACGATCCAGAGTCAAATGCCGCTTTTAGGTCCAGGAAAACAACTATTGTCGGACGCCTTAATGTGTTTCTGTGTTCCAGGACCTGTCGTAGTGTGAATATCTGGTCCATACATCCACTTCCGGGTCTGAAACCAGACTGGTTTTCTCTAGTCTGCTCTTCACGAGCTCTAGTTAGGCGTCTAAGGATAATCGAGGCTAACAATTTAGAAACTATATTAGTTAGACTTATTCCCCTGTGATTGTCACAAGAAGACTTTTGTCCTTTCTTATAAATTGGGACAATCAAGGATTGAGACCACTTGGCTGGGATTGTGTCCAGTTCCGAGATCCTACCTATGATCTCGGTCAATCTAGCAGCTAAAACTGGACCACCATCCTTGAAAATCCCAGTGGTCACTCTATCAGGACCCGCTGCTCTTCTTCACTTCAGATTTCCTATCGCTTTTTCAACTTCATGAAGACTAGGACTTACGTCGATTTGCCATTCAGGATGACTGCAGATCGTAGGTAACCAAAGTGTGACTGAATTCCAGTTGAACTAATCCCTGAAGTGTTTTACCCATCGGTCCAGTCTCCTGGATTGAGAATGAATGATACAGCCATTCTTTTCTGAGATAGTTTCACTCACATTCGGGATCCTAATACCAGTTTTCTGTATGAGGCGAAACAACTGTCTACTGTTGCCTATCGCCGCTGCCTTTTCCATCTCCCTTGCTTTCGCTACCACTGTTCTCGATGATTGCGAAGGCTTTTTATCAGCATGCGCCTGATCTTACTCCGCTCCTCATCGGGCTCAGAGCCAGCAGGGATGAACTTTCGAGCATCCATCATTTCCGTAGATGCTACTGAAATCCATGGCTTCGCCCCGACCTTACGGTTTGACTTACTAGCAGATATCACTGCTGTTTCCCCAGCTTTTTTGATATCATTCCAAGCTGCTTCTGGGTGGGCATCACTTTCTACATGGCTGCCTAACTGTTTTTCTAGTTGTTCCTGAAATATATTCCTAGCTTTATTATCATTAAGTAGAGCCTTAAGAGGTTTCCTTGCGATATTCTTCTTGCGACCAGTATGGCGCAAACAAATACGCGCTCGCACTAGAGCATGGTCTGAGTCTAAAAAAGTGCTCCAGAATGAGCGGCAGTCTTCAATAGAGCCTCTCCACCGACGGCTTATGGCGATGTGATTTATTTGGGTCCAGCGATCGAACGACTTTGGGGGTCGCCACGTCAGAAGGTGTTTTACCTTATGCTTAAAGTTAGTGTTTGCTAGGAATAGGCGATTATCTGAGCATGGCTGCAGCAAACGGTCGCCATTATCTGTTCTATTATCCACGACACCATAGGATCCACCCAGGTGTCTTTTCTTTTCGTTGAGTTTACCTACTTGAGCGTTAAAGTCACCAGCCATTATCACTATATCAGAGCGCTTAACATTTTGGAGAAGTTTAGAGATGTTTCTATAAAACTTATCTTTCATGTCGTCTGAACTGCAGTCAGTGGGAGCGTAGGAAGATACGACGAATAGGCAACGGCGAGTGTCCCTATGCTTCCGAGTCCGTCCCGTCCCGTCGGACAGTGCACAAGCGACTATCTACTGGGATCCAGTCTAGGAGAGCTGGTTCTGTCCTAGGACTTAATATTATACCTACGCCGGCGAGGCCACGAGAAGCGGCATCAGGGCTTCCAGAAGCACGAAGCTTAAATCTTGTTATGTCTCTACCTGCACTAGGTGAGACCAAAATGATGATTTTACTGGGATCTTGTATGCGCGTTTCGGAGACGTAACATACATCGATCGCCTTGGATTTCAGAGTTCTAGCTAATGAAGCCGGTCGCCCTATTCGGCATAGCGTCCGAACAATAAAAGCTGCTATATGTAATTTATTACGGGGTTTCAAGAGATCAGGAATAACATCTCGTGAGATTATACCGTTTGCTTCAGTGGCGTGAGGTGATAAACGATCGAAAGAAGGGTTGGTCGAGGAGATAAGAGAGTTATTAAGAGGTTTAGAAAGGATTTGATTGTGACCAATTCGATCTCGTGTGCTTTTATGGGTATGAGGGCGGATGTTACTTCCCGGCTGCCCATACCGTGGAAGAGTTTTTCTTGAGGAACCTGAAAAAGAAAGTAGATTGGCGTTGGTCTTAACGACCTGTGAGCGTGATCACCCGAGGGACAACTGCTTGAGGCCGGTCACACACGGCCTTTTTATTAAAGGTTTTTTGAGTATTAGCTCCGCTCTTAAAAGCCCTTAGTGGGCACCCTTACCAACGGAGACGGAAATCCGTGAGGTAGGGTGAGGTGTGAAATTTTTAGGGTTGAATTTTTCTAACCCTTCCTTCCTTGTGAGAAGGCCGCATCGCTGCAGATGCTGGTAGTCAAATGGAAACACCTTACTGTCACACCCCCAAACAGTCAGCAGTACGAATTCGCCCTCAGACCTTGAGTAGCTGCTCTTAGTCTCATCATTCTTCGACCTGCCTGGCATGGTAAAACCTTCAGGCTTATATGTTCCAGCCAATATAGCTCGGTCGGGTTCTAGTATTTGGTTGTATTGGCACCTGAACTAGTGATAGGGAGTGAAGCAGTTGAGCGTGCTGACCGCCTCACTTATCTAAGAAGTCTCATCAGTGCTAATGGCCTGGCGACTGACGAAATCTCAGCTCGGATACAGGAAGCTCGATTGGCTTTTGCCAACTTGCGTCACATATCGCTTTGGTGAGATATCCACCTGCTAACCACAAAGGACGAGTGTGCTGCGTAGCAGTTCGTTCTGTCCTATTATATGAATGCGAAACATAGCCGGTTAGAGTTGAGGTTGCTGGTTTTCGATCATAGGTGTCTTCGAAGCATTGCTCGTGTATCCTGGAACAACCGAGTAACGAATGCTTTAGTTAGGAAACGAGTACTAGGTAGGGATGGCAAATCAATACATAAAGTATTGAAACTTGATCATTTGAGGTGGTTGGAACATGTGTTACGTATGCCCAACCACCGACTGCCTCGACGAACGATGCTTTGTGGTGTAGGTTGGAAGAAAACCGAAACGTGGCAGAAATCCATGAAGTCACTGACAAGTGGGTTGAGTCATGTTGGTAGATGTAGGCTACCTGGTTGGGATCCGCGAGATGATAGTAACCGATGGTTAGAGACCCTGAATGACATGGTTCAAAACCGTTTGCGATGGCACAAATGCATTCATTCTTTGTGTTCACTCGAATCCTAACCTTCTGAAGTCCTCATCACCCTTATCTTTTCCGTTTACTTCACTAGATTATCCTCCTTGAATAATATCGTCGAACCCTAATCTCTCCGATTACTGCTAATACTTCTACTACCTCTTTTACAATAGGATTTGAATTGATAATTACATCTCTGTGCTAATGTGGTATGGCGACATGAACTGATGTACGTAGGTACGAAGTTCTGCTTTGTAACTGAGTGATCGACAATACAAAGAGTTTAAATCTTAATAAAATTGTATTTTTTTGATATTATTCTTATTATATTAAAGTATTACGTAGGTATCCCAAATGAATTTTTTAGTACATATCTCACTATTTCAAAAGAACAAAATTTAAATATAATAATATAGATGGTTGTGTTACAGTTACTCAATGTTGAATTTCAACATACGTTAACTGGATCTCTCACTTGTTTAGGTAGTTCCCTTAGCTATTACTTTAAGGGAAATTCTCTGCAAAGTAGTAAAATAATGGTTAAGCCCTTCGCCTTTCAACTAATAAGTCACACGTTTGAGAAAGTCATGTGGTGTTAATAGCTTTTACACATACTAAAGTTAAATTCATAATGCTAAATGCATGAAATTCTATGTGGTTATTAATTTGCACTTGATTACCTATCGGTTAAAATTCACCAATTCTTTGTTAATTTCGCAGCCTTCAAAAACACTAACTAGTGTTCTTTTTTCAACTTTAACTCCTGTGAAAAATCACTAACGTTCATATAAATATTTTTCCTGCCCATTAACTTGTTGTTCAAGCTGATTCAAAAGAATGAAGAGGTTACGGAAAGTAATGAACTGATTAAGAATGATATAAGAAGACGAATTGTTCTGCTACAGGAGGAACTACAGAAAATGAAAACCTATAATAATAATAATAGCAATAAAAACAATGAAACAGAAAACGGCACACACAAAGTAGAATGAAGTCTATGTTTTTTGGTTGAATAAATCATGACTTTCACCTATTGTAAAGGTTAATATCAATGTATTTATCTTGTCTTCTCCTCAAGGTTTTATTTGTAACTTAACTGTTTTTCTACATTAACCCACGTTTTTAATGAGTTGATTATGTAATTTGTTCAACAAATATACGAACTTGAGGCCGTATAAACTTTCCTACTTACGCCTGTCACCCCTCGTGGAGCATTAGTCCGCTGACCCAGATTCTCCAACTTATTCTATTCTAGCCTATCCTTTCCAGTTGTTGCCACGTGCTGTCCATTCTCTGTCTCTTATTCTCAGCACAATGTGTTGCGTGGTATTCCTCTCCACCATTTGCCTTGAAGACTGCGTGGGGACTTGTCTTGTCACGCAGTTTGGGAATCTCGGCAGTGTCTAACTCACTTCCACTCCCTAAGCTGAAAGCTGATTTGCTCTCTCCCACAGTAGGTTGTTACTGATGGTGTCTGGCCAAAGAATCCGCAGTATCTTGCTTGTATGAGCAACTGTTAATAAACACCTGTAACTTTTTGATAATGGCTTTTGTATTTCTTCAAGTTTCTGCTCCATACAATAGAGTGGTTTTGACATTCGCATTATAAACTCTAACTTTGATGTTGGTTAACAGTTGTTTTGAGTTCCAGATGTTTTTCAATCTCAGAAATACCAATTTGTGTCCTTACATCTGCACCAGATCCATTTTGTTTATCGGTACTGCTGCTCAGGTATGTAGACATTTCCATGTCTTCCAAATCTTCTCCATCAAGTATAGTCTGGTTTGAACCTGTTGTATTGTATTTAGAGTCTTGTTTTTTCCTCTGTGTATGATGATATCTACTGCTGCAGAGGGTAGTACTACACTGGCCGTCTTCATCTGCATATGTTGTTGTGTATGGGATAGAAGGTCTAGGTCATTTGCGTAGTCTAAATCGTCCAGCTGCCACTGTATTCCGTGGTTCCCCTGAGATGTTGACGTGTTTATAAACCAGTCAACCACCAGAAGAAAGAGAAAGGGTGAGAGTAAGCAACCTTGTCTGATATCGTGTTTTAATTGGAACGAGTCTGTGAGCTATCCTCCATGCACGATTTTTCATCGTAAGGATTCCGTCCTATGTTGACTATCTTAGGTACACTGCAGTGTCTCCATTATGTCATCCTGTCTACTTCCTGGAATGCTTTCTCGTAGTGGGTGAAATTGATGGACAGTGGTGAGTTCCGTTAAACTGATTATTCCACAATGATCCTCAGTGTCGCGATTTGATCGGCACCCGATCGATCTATACGGAGTCCAGCCTGTTGATCTCGAAGTTTTGCTTCCATTGAATCTTTCACTCGGTTCAATAACGCGGTTGAAACCTTTACCTGATACTAATAGTAGTGTGATGATTCTGTAGTTTTCACACTAGTTGTGATCTCTTTCGGTATTTTGATGACGTATCCTTCCTTCTAGTCTGTTGATACCAGTTCTTCATCCCAAGTCTTGCTGAGTAGGGCGTGGATCATCTTTGTAGTTACTTGTATGTCTACTTTCAATGCCTCAGTTGCGATGTTGTCTGGTCCTGTTGCTTACACACTTTTGATCTGTTTGATGTCCGTTCTGACTTCGATTGTTAGTGGGGTGACATATATAGCAAGGTGTGTATTTCTGCTGATTTGATGTCCGGTGGGTCCAGTGAAGATGAAATATTCGAGAGTTCTTGAAAGTGCTCTACCGGCCTACGTCGCTGTTCTTCAATTTCGGCGATTGGTTTACCTTCCTTGTTCTTCACTGGTCGTTCTGGTTTACTACACTTTCCAGAGAGCTTCTTCGTTGTTTCGTGTTTCCTTATGTTACAAGATGTAAACGAGCTAATGCTTTTATTATACTGCACTAATTTCCTATTACAGTAATAATATCTTTCCAAAAATCTAATCCTGATTTCATTCTTTCTTTATAGTTGACAATTTTTGAGGTTATGCTCCACCATCATTTATTATTAATGTATGAGATCATTTTAAATGCTAATTATTTAAACAAGTTTTACTTGGATTTATCAATAACAATGAACACTACATGGTTTTGGATCCTTACGAGAATCTATATCATGTTTAGTGAAAGAAGAACACTTGATTAAAAAAATGTTCTTATTTTACCGGTAGCACTAAGGATACGAAAATAAAACTTGACTACTCTTACATATATGAATAGCGTAATGTACATGAGCACATATCATCACTCTATGGAGCTGAGGCCACTTGGACACTGACTGGAAATCCAAACGAATCAAGTTTAAACTATGAAATGAAATAGTTGTTTTCATTACTACACGAGTCTTGAAGTTATTGCTGGTAAAGCCAGAAAATATTTGTAGCTCAGAATGAGGATTTTAAAAGTGACATATTCTCTGAGCTTTCATTGTCTTTCTCAACAATATCTAATATATTCTACTAATCTATAATTTAGTTAATTATTGTCTACAAGCATATGGCCGTTGTTTCTGTGATTACTTGGACTGTTTTCACTCCACATATGCATTGACTTAAATGAAGCTAATATCGCTGCATTTAACAGCTGGCTGGTGTATATGTAAACAGAGAGAGGGCGCTTTGTCTTATGCAGTCTCTTGAAGTTGTTACAATTTATCCTGTAAATGATGTTTGATTCGTTTCTGTTTAACAATCAAATTCTAAGTAATCAGAACAAACTCAGTGAATTATGGTGTGTGTCCCGATTATGTTGTTGAGAGAAACGTTGAAAATCTCACAAATAAACTATCTATGTCAGAGAACACAGCACCTTCATTATTCAAGCAAGTGGAAGTTAATGGCTGTATGAAGTTAGATTAATTAGTACATTCATTGGAGTAAATGTAGTCGGAATATATGTACACACATAGTTTTATAGCAGTTAATTAGTTTAGTTGACAAACGTTCGAGACGATGGCCAAACAAATAAGCATATCAAACCTGTACTTAGGGTAGCTAGTTTTCAACCAACTAATAAGATGAGAGAAAGTTAAATAAATCGTGAGTTACTAAAAAGTATCATGATTAAAATATAGACGTCACACCAATCTAGAGCTAGATCTATGCTTGCAACTGTCCTGAATATCCCTTATATATTGAATCAGAAAAGCAAATTAAATGTCAACAAAACTGATATAGGTTACAATGTATCGTTGGTCACATGAAGTTGGGAATGTGAAGTAACAATGTTGCGCTTGTAAATCGTCTGATAGTCATACGGTTTGTAGTTAGTATTATTTATTACTGGAAATTTCGGAAAGGTCAATAGTATTTCCAATAAAGCAATATACAACAACCGGAATATTAGACAATGAAAAACACTAGACTACATACAATCTTTATGTGCTACGCAAGTAATTTTAGAAATCATTGTTTTATGGATGAATTTGACTAAGACATGACCACTTTCTTTCGACAGCTGTTATTTATTGACCTAAGCACTTAAATTTTAAAAAAAAAGAATACGGGTTTTGTTAGTGGGACATAGATGGATTTAAAGCGTGATTACGTCACTACGCGCTGATTGGCTAATTTCCTATCCAATCAGCGCCTGATCGAAGCTTGGAGAACAGGATAGAAAATTCTCGTATTATTAGCTGCATGCTGATTGGTCAAATCCAGCCCAGTCGATCACGTGAATTTTCTTCCAGAAGTTTTCTCATGTAAAGGCTATAAATAGACTAGCATTGTATTTATCTTGGCCTTCAAGCCTTCTAGCCTTCTTCGCTTTCAAGCCTTTTTGCCTTGGCTTTCGCCATCACCTCCAGCTTCTTTTCCTTGCTATTTTGGAATACAATCCTTCCTGTTCAACCGTGTTCTGATTTGTGTTACTTGTTCAGTGTCTTGTGTCAAGAATACTAAGCAATAAGATTTAGCCGGGAAATATCGTCCACAACCGTTACAACAGTGGCGACGGAGAAAAAGGAAAAAAATTTCAAGATGCCTATTTCAGATGATCAGCTTAACCGAATACTACAACAACAGCAAGCACAATTAGATGCACAAATGCGGTTGTTGGAGACCCTAACTCAACAGCTCAACATCCAGTGTTCGAGTCCACATACTGTTTCAAATACGTCTTGTGAAGCAGTGGCTAACAGTATACCAGAATTCGTCTATAATCCTGAATGTGGAAATACTTTTCTGACGTGGTTCAAACGTTGGGAAGATACATTTAGAATTGAATTCGGTAAACAAGATGATGCATGGAAGACTCGGTTGTTGCTGCGTAAGTTGGGAAGCAATGAGTATGAACGTTACGCTGACCACGTATTACCGAAGTTACCTCGAGAGCTCAGTTTCGAGGAGACAGTAACTCAGCTGTCAGATATTTTCGGCGAATCTTCATCATTGTTTAGTATCAGATATCATTGTCTAAATCTGGTGAAACATGAAGATGATGAATATGCGGTCCTTGCAGACGTCGTCAACAGAGAATGTGAACGGTTCAAGTTACGCTCGTTGACGGAAGACCAATTTAAATGCTTAATATTCATCAAAGCTCTTCAGTCACCGCAAGATGCGGAAACCAGAACTAGACTTTTGATTCGAATGGACCAAGACCCTAATGTGACACTCAGAACATTGACAGATGAGTGTAAACGCCTACAAAGTATCAGGCACGACAACATGTTGATTGAACAGGTAAATCACAATTTAACCAGCAGTAGTGTCAATGCTATTACTAGGTTAAATGTCCAGAAGCCGATAGCATCTCGTAACAAACCAACGACGGCATGTTGGTTATGTGGTGATTGGCACTACGTACGATTTTGTCCATTTAAAAAACATAAATGTCAGATGTGCCATAAACGTGGACATAAAGAAGGCCATTGCCAACCAAATCGTACGTCTCAGCCGAAGAAGAAGCGCAAACGTACTCGACATGTGGTGAAATCAGCCGAGTCTAAATCACTTTCTCTCGTAGCTGCTTTTCAAACAGAATATGACGTTCGGAGAAAGTATGTTACTATCCAGATGAACGGTGCATCAGCTCGTTTCCAAATCGACACGGCATCAGATATCACCCTAATGTCTAGAGAAACGTACAACTCGCTGGGAAAACCGCCAATGAAGCCATCTAAGAAAACAGTTAAAAGCGCTTCAGGTGGTGTGTTAAAACTGGTTGGTGAGATGCAGTGTGAATTTTCCTTCAACGGAACAAAGTGTAGAGGAATATGCTATCTGACAGAACGGCCAAACCTTGATCTTCTTGGTCTAGATATGCTAGAAAAGCTGGGAATAATGGATTTACCCATTAACAGTGTCTGCAGCGTATCGTGTTCATCATTGGACACCCCGATACTTAAAAAGAAGACAGGTGAAAGGTTACAAGATAAACTAAAGAGGAAGTCAGCCTCTGTTTCTCAGAATAGCCTTGGCCGCTGTACGAATCTGAAAGCTAACTTACCAGCGAAAGCAGATGCCAAACCTACTTCACGTCCGAGACGCCCTATACCATATGCTGTTCATGAGCCTCAACAAAACTTATCGGTGGGGAAGCAGCCCAATCGACGGTTGTTTAAAGATATGGTTCCTACAAAGCAGGCGGCTCGTAAGAGTACGGGTGGCAAGGCACCCAGGAAGCAGCTGGACCCTGGCGCCAGATCCTACGAATCTTCTCAAAGGGGAGGTGTTAGTGGGACATAGATGGATTTAAAGCGTGATTACGTCACTACGCGCTGATTGGCTAATTTCCTATCCAATCAGCGCCTGATCGAAGCTTGGAGAACAGGATAGAAAATTCTCGTATTATTAGCTGCATGCTGATTGGTCAAATCCAGCCCAGTCGATCACGTGAATTTTCTTCCAGAAGTTTTCTCATGTAAAGGCTATAAATAGACTAGCATTGTATTTATCTTGGCCTTCAAGCCTTCTAGCCTTCTTCGCTTTCAAGCCTTTTTGCCTTGGCTTTCGCCATCACCTCCAGCTTCTTTTCCTTGCTATTTTGGAATACAATCCTTCCTGTTCAACCGTGTTCTGATTTGTGTTACTTGTTCAGTGTCTTGTGTCAAGAATACTAAGCAATAAGATTTAGCCGGGAAATATCGTAAGCAACCGTTACAACAGGTTTGTGTCGCATTTTCTGTAGAAGGATGTAAACGTACATTTACGAATAAACTGTACACGCAAGTCGCTCACAGTCTAGCATAAGATTCATGGTGATTTGAGAATCTGGCTTGGTGACAGGTAAACAAGTTGCTTAACATGGAGAGTGTAAAAATATTGGATTTGATCATACGGCAGACAGTAGTCCCAGATATATATTGTTCAGTAGAACTCAAGCACGTTTTAATTTTCACTTTATCTGATACCTGGTTTCAAGATAGTACAGTTGTACAATGCCGAATCGTATTTTTTTTGGTAAGCCAAAGTGTTAGGATCGATTTACCACTTTCTAATGGCTTCAAATTATCTTTATTAACTTGCATATCAGATGCTAAACATCCAGCAGACGTGCAAATCAAATTAGATTTAAAGAAAACATCCCAGTGAAACTACGTGTTATAAGCACCGCTACTGGTGCAGCGATTCCAAATGCAGGATAAATAATTACATATTAACTAGCTTCCTGCCAAGAAGAATAGTTTGTTTTTTAAAAATTTTTCATTTCATCCAAGTGTTGGCGTATTGCTGAATAAGCTTTAAAGAAATAGTTGTATTCTGAATATCCAATTTAAGAATATGGTATCAATTACCAGTTTAAGTATTGGTATATATATATATATATATATATTTGATTAAGGATAAGTAAATTTAACAATTATCTTAACCTATGCATATATATATATATTTGATTAGGATAACATTACAGTCTTCACAAGATAAAGGTGGCTAGAGGAATTTTACAAATGTTGATAATTGTCAATTAGTAGATATATGAAATACATCTAACACATCACTTAATGAAAAAAAAGAGACAATTACACGATCGAAGATCATCAGCTTAGGGGAAAACAGAATCAACATAAATTGGGTAGATAGTGGTAGTATATAATTAGTGGCAATATCCAACCACATTCTATGTTGTTTATTTTTGCTGTTACCCATAACTTAATACATATTTGAGGTAAAAAATAATTAATGGCTAGGAATACCACCCGGCTGCCCGAGTTTAAGCTACAATAGCGCAAGGTTCGAATCTCAAGTTAAGTGATCGAACCACCGTGCCATGGACGTAACAAACTGATCATCACTTGTGCATTGCTACTGTTCTTCTGAAAAGACGGTGGAAACATTACAATCAAACTATTCAACTCACGGAACATAAACCCAACCGAAATACATTTCAATATATTAGCTTTTATAAGTTAGAATATTTGCACATGGTGTAGACTAAAAAAATGATACTACTGAATCAAAAAGTACCACAACGATTTTTAATTCAATAAATTAAAAATTTTGGGTTGTTTTGTTTCAGTGAAGTGTTCCACTGAATTTATTTCAAAGTGAATTATTATTGTGAACTTGTTTTAAATAAACAAAACTGAAATTTCATTAAAAAAAGTTCCAGAAAACAAGAAGAAATTAGACAATACACAAAATAAATCATGCTGCTATTGTTGCTAAATATAAAATTAAAATATATATATTTCATGTATTTTTAGTAAATGTTAAAATATAGTAATGATAATAGAGTATTGACTAGAAAAATGTAAAAAAAAACATATCATAAATTAAATTAGGTCAAGTGTTCTATGTGTGTGTGTATGAGTCTGAGTACGCGGCTACAAATGTAAGATGTCACGAATAAATAGTTGTCGTTGTTGTACAACATGAATATCTTTTAAGTTTTCTAACTTTTAATTTAAAAGGAAAAAAAATACTGGTGCATAGACCATCAGAGATATAGAATGAATTGGTTTCATCCGCCGTCCAACAAATAACAAAATCCGTTATTCTTCCCTCATAAAATTTTATCATTACAATTAATGCTATGAAATGAAGGAGTGACATTGACATTGAGTGTATCTGTCGGCTTTTCATATCGCCTCCTGTCTAGATAGAATAGACATAACGACTTACGTCGAAGAAATAATAGGTGTCGTGAAGCTATTCTATTGTTGTACTAGTTGAACACGATCCGACGAAAAACAAAAGGATGTGTACAATTTTTTTTCAAAAAAAATTTTTATGAAAAATAAATCAAAGATATGTAAAAGAAAAAGTAAATGATACTATAATTATTGGCAATGCCGATTACGTAATAGTTAAAAATTAATTATGATGATAATTTACAGAGGGAAATAAGAAATAAATTATCCAAATATGTGAACTAGGAATAAAACATCCAGTTTTGAAATTGACAAGAATATGCACATTTTCAAGTTAGTAAAAATATACGCGAGTGGAAGTGTTCATTTCTTCTCAGTATAATCACTGTTTCCTCCATACTCGGATAACACTAAGCGCGTTTTTACCTACTTACTATAGATTCTCTATGAGAACGAAATTCGCAGAAGAATAAATAATGAGAATAGACTGTAACTTGATAATCATGTCAAAATTTAAATATATATATATATATATATATATATATATATATAGAAGTATAAAATAGTTTTAACATTCACTACCAAGTAGAGCAGGTTCAAATATTAAATTGAATTCATCCAATGATGTTAACAAATCTTGTATAATTTGTCTTAAATCATGACTCAATAAAAAACTTCTTGGTTCATACATATGATACGTGATAGGACTAATTGCCAATATGGATAACCAATCAGAGAGTAGATGATCACGAAGTGCATGACAAATAAAACGCTATCAAAAGTGAAGTACAAAGACACAGGAAAACAAAAAGAATAACTTGGGATAAAAATATACACTGAATAAGTAAATAATTGTAACAAACATTAGACAAAAATTAGACAATTTTATGCTTAATGCAGGGATTCAATAAATTATTCTCCGCTAGAATATTAATCGACACTGTTGATTACATCCGTCAAACCAAATTAAAAACCAATGGTTATGAAAGAGGTGAATAGTGACCTGCAACTCGGTATTGATCTAATTAAAAAAAGTGCAGATCAATTACAGACCCTGGTTCCTCACATTTTTACTCTGATTGAGAAAATTAAATCCAGGTAAGAGTGACATGTACAAATGCTGAAGCTTAGCTTCTACCGATATTGATGTCAGTCATCAAGAAACACACTATGGAGAATGAGTATAAAATCATTAGTTCTTCATTTCCAAAATATTTTCAATGCAGATATAATGAAATCGAAAATGATATCTCAGTAACTAGATTGCAAGATTAAGTATAGAAAAAGACAATTGTGGATAAAGTGTTAATACAGTCTGTTTTTATTTTAACTTAATAATTATAAGGATATCGTTTGAGTAAGTCAACTACAATCCGAACTTCAAAATACCATACTGACTATAGTTATTGCTTGATCGGTTGCTTATTCTTGTAATTGATTACCCAAGATAGTCAAATTAGGACGTAAACAGGCTAATGGTAGTACATTTTGATTTCTGCTGACGATTGCGAAGGCTCCTTCCCTTTTTATCCAATTTTTTTTTAAAAAAACCATTAGGTAACGAGATTTCATGATACGTTTCGCTATCTATTGTAACAGTGCAAATAAACATAAAATTTACCTGTCAAACAACTAAATAGTTTCATGATCTCTGACTAACTGTTTAATATTTAAAAGACACCAATCGAAATACAGAACAAATTAAACATTAAATACACCTACCTGAAATTTACCCTTTTTACCCAGTGTCATACTATGATTACTAATATTTTGTACACACATAACAAATTGTAATGCAGTTTGTTGTACATGATTTGACATTGAAGCTAATCTATTATTCATTGAAATATCAGTAGATCTATTTTGTGCTAAGTTCATAGTATTATTTGTTGGAATTAAACGAGAGAATGCAGGTGAAGCAGGTTGTGAAGATGAGAATAAATTCAAACGTGTATTGGCATAGTTTTGTTCATTTTGACTATTATTATGTAGTGAATAAGTTTCATTCACCGCAGAAAATGATGGTGAATGCGGCAGTAATCCATGCGGTTTAATGATAGATGACGAGGTTGATAATTGTTCATATTTACTATTATTAGTATTATTATTATTGTTATTATTTCCTTGACCATAACGATTATGTTTCGATGTTAATGAACGTGGTAGACTATGTGTAGAAAATGGTAAATATTTTATTCTAGTAGGAGTTTGTAGCTCTGACATATGGAAATTCATCTCTTCTTGTTGTTGCTGGAGATTAGTTAGTTGAAGTTCCACTGAAAAATCGTTTGCGACTTTTTCTGTTTTTTTTTTAAATGTTAAGAAAAACAACAAATATAAAGGGATTTAAAGTAATCTTTTTAATTTATTTCAAGTATAGCTTAACAGCCAATGATGTTATGGTACTCAACTTTAATTGACACTTGTTGTGCATGAGAATCAGTGATGATCAGTATTTGCAACAGAAATGTTCAAAAATCAAATAATTTTAACGTGAAATGTCGCTGGTGAAGTGTAACATTACTAAACTTCTCGAATCATTATTATCACTTCCAAAATTTAATAGATACAACCGAATTGAAATGTTTACAATCTGTTTTTTCAGTTAAAAGTAGTGTTGTTCAAAAGTAAATTTATTCTGAGAAATTATTTCGTGTAAATATGCACATATCAGGCTTATTATATTAATTCATTGGATGCATCAGTTCATATTAGAGAAATATTAATGTCTAATGATATTTTACTATTTTTATTCACAACTTAAATGACAGATAATCAAGAAAAAGCTAGGAAATTTGTAGACCAATTAGATACGTTGAATTCATATTCAGTAGTTTGAACATTACCATGAACAGCAATGAAAACTTGAAAATCAACACATCTACCTCAATGAACTTAACATAAGCAAATCTAACAACCTATTCCCAAGTTATCCTGTAGAAAGAAAGAGTGAAATTCCACATAATAACTACATCTGTCAACTGACATAAATTATTTATCCTGCAAAGAAGCGGGCTACATGAAGTCACGAAACTGTACAACATATAATTTTTCTACTATGAACATTCGAACAAAATGAATAATCGTACATTAATGAATTCTAAAAAAAAACACACACTGTCTGTCAGTCAGTCAATCAACATACCTAAATAATCCCATACGTAAATTTTTCGTTGAAATATCCGACTTGAACGAAATGCATAAGTAAAAACTAAATGTAAAGCTGGTACAAGACCATGTTCACCGCACCATAATGATGTTAAACTAGTTGTCATTGTATTAGCAGGATTTGTTTTACAAAAGAATTTTAGTAATCGATTCACTGCACTAGCCACTCGTTCATGGATTATGCCAGAGTTTAAATTTTCTAATTAAAAGATAAACCGAAAAAAACTCTTTACGTGAGAAGATACAAGTAAACATAATGCAATTTATAGTTAATGAACTGAATTAAGCAAAGTGAATTTTCAAACCATAGAATCAATATTGTGATATAGACGTTGATCTGACAATGTTTCTATTTATAACTAAGAAAATATATCAGTATATGACTGTACTAATACTTGCTATTACCACGCAAATGCCAAACAGTTGGTCTACGCCTACCAACAATACCCACTTCAACTGTCAGTCAATCCACGAACTGACTAAATGTTTTGTTTTAGCCTCATTTAAATTTCTTACAACATACCCTTATACCTAACAACTCCACCGGTCAAGGTGCGTGCTAGTTGTGCGTACATGACATCTGTTCTAATAGTCCCTTTCCCAACCCAGGCATTACTTACTCAGTGCTCTCAAAATACACGAGCAGCACTTCGAAGACACCATTGATCTTATGCTAGTAACCCACGGATATCTTCTATTTTTAATGGCCATGCTGCACATCTGTAAAGTAGAACGTAATGACCTATTGCAGAGTGAACGCGTCCTTTCGTTACGAGATGGATATCTCACCTACGACACAAGTAACACAAGTTGTAATACCATCATCTCTTCGCTCAGCCACAACACCGTAAGATTAACCTAATTAACTTTCGTTTTGATTCAGACTAAAAATCGCAGACCAAAGGTACTTTATCTGAGCTTCTAACTTTTTGAGGGAGGTTGGAAAGGTTCCCGTAAAATTTAACTTACACTTCATCCAAGTTGAAATCAGTGACAGAGCAGTCAGAGACAACAAAGAGGGAATGGTTAGCAACTCTACATTTTCCAGTTTTTAGTCTCGTTTAGTCAGAAAGTGTAAAAGCGACTGCCCGTTGAAATCAAACCTAGGGCTGTAAGAAGGTAGCAATGCTACACATGCTGGTTATCCGGGGAGAACACCTTACGCCTGACACACCTTTCTACAGCCAGTAGTACGACTTCGCCCTCAGACCTTGAGTAGTTGCTTTTAGTCTCATCGTTCTCCAATCGAATCGCCTGGCATAGTAGAACCTACAACAACATATGTTCCAGCTAATATGGCTCGGTTGAGCCATCACAATAGGTAAGCCCAACCACCACATCACGTAGTGCAACTATAAAATTTGTTTATCAAAACACTTTAATGAACTACAGTCAGTAAAGTAGTTACTAATGGAGAATAGTGAGCTATAAGAATGTTTTCTAGAAGTTTACATTATGGATTTTCAAAGTGTTATTTTGGTTTAAACGAAATTCTAGCCATATCATGAAGCTAACTACAAAATCCAAATATGACTCCTTACAAGTATAATCTCTCAAATGTTTTGATTATATTTTACTATTTGAAGAAAGAATATAAATCAACGATAGTACAGTAGTACAAGGACAAGCTTAAGATAATCGAGACGAATTTTCATCCAGTATCTTAGTCAATTAAAAAATGGATATTTTAGCTAAAAGTAGTGTAGATAAATTTTAAAATAATTGACGAAACCGCAAGTTGAACTTCTTGTAAACTGAAGAAAAGACATAAAACTTCGTTCTTAAGGATACAGTTTATTCAGTTTCTTGAATTTTTTATGGAGACCAAAACAGGTTTTTAAGTCTCCATATTTTTCGTACACAACGTAAAGATTATGGGTTTGAGGTAGGTATCTACATTAAGAACTGATAACATTCATAATGCAAGTGTTGTATAGTAATAGACATGAATGAATTCGGTGCAAAAATTCAAGAGCAACTAACTGATTAGCTTTTCAATAAAATATAGTACCACCGAAGTAAAGTTTTATGATAAAGATTTAGGAATATTGTCTGTTTGTAATTGGCAGACAGGATTGAGCACTTGATAAGTCGTTTGAAGTTTATGATGAAAAAAAGTAATTTTCGCAACCAATTAAAAGAAAGGTAACTCTCCAACTAGTTACACGTGTTAACTGAATGTCGTGCAAAAGTCTGAATAAAAACACCTAGAATGTGTGACTGGTTCGTCCACTCATTATACATACTTTTATCCATAAATCTTATTGAAATATATATAGGCGCAAGAAATTTTAGTTTAAAAGGTATTATTATTATTATAGTTAATCAAACAAAAAATCTTATCATTTGGTCAATTTCTTTTTTACACAAAAGAATTACAAACGTAATTCACACAATATCAGAGAAATAATCGAAAACTTACTTTGATCCGAGTTTCGTCTTGACAAAGATGGTGATGGACAACGATTCGGTAAATTTTGTGAACATTCAATAGGATCTAATGTTGGAGCTGTGAAAAGCAAATCTTCAAAACAGATAGAAATAATAATAATAATAATGTCAACGAATAATGTAAAAAAATAAAATGTTAAAGTTAATTAACAAAAAGGATACTTGATTTCGGTATATAGTGTGCGATTAAACGTGATTATGTGTGAAACGAAGAAAGAAAATGTGTTCGTGTAGAAGTGATCAAAAGTAGGGAAATAAAAACCAAGTAGTCATGATTGGCCAAATTCAGATAATATTAAGTGTGAAAGTTACCAGTAATCGTACTGAATGATCGTCATCCGATATTTCAAAAGAAATTTAAATCAAAATTGTACTAGTCCATAGCGATACAGTAGTTTCAATGGTTAAGTATTTGTTCTAGATTTGACCACATGGCTGGTTCATAGGTCTGCGCTAATGGGCGGTCTCGTAATAAGATGAGACAGATGTGCAGAGCCTTTTAATTTTGAATGGTACCTCAATTAAAAATGATCTGTAACAAATACGACGTACAAGTTCAATTAATCTACATAAAATCCTTCCAATAAATATAAACTTTAAGATAACAGACCTACTACACTAAAAAACTTAACTCATGAGAATTTATAACAAGAAGTTCGAGGGTTAGATTGTAAGGTTAAACTAACTAATCAAGCATAACTACACAAAAGTAAGATATTAATGGTTATATGTGGTCAGAATGAATATTCATTTAGATTGAAACCTATAGTTAAAATGCCAAAGCATTTACCAAACAGTTTAAATGTTATGATATCGAGTTGAAGCAAGTTTATGAACTCACAGTGATAAACAATCTTCGTAGACGAAATTGCTGAGGTATCATTTAGTGTTATCAATGAGGTGATGTAATTTAGCATTATTTTACTCATTCAACTTTTCAACCAAATTATTTCCAATCGTAAGTTCAAACCTAACTATGTGCATCATAATTTAAAGCCACAGCTAATATGACTGAAAGTAGTTTAATCATTAAAACTTCGAAAATGGCATCGTTTTATAGCATGGTCGTCTTTTGAATATAGAAGAACCACCAGCCATGATGATAAAAACGTAATTAAAATAATTCTAATCACACCAATATGTTTATAACTTCCTTCAATGATTTAAATATATATATATATATATATATTCCGATTAACAAGCTAATCAGATTAGTTAAAACAAACTAAATGATTTCACTCATCTAAAATGTAAACAACATGATAGATACTATTCGAATGGGTAATGTTTTATTCCTATGAAAACATCCGAAATCGCTTCGTGTTATATTCAGTTATGTTTTTTTTTCCATTAAGAATTCAATTAGCAACTGGTCACCAAATACACACAATCGATTTGTCCGAGATTAATAACCAACAGACGACAATACACATCAACACACATGAGCTAGTGTTGTTGTAACCAAAAAGGATCTTATCACCAGTGTAGTATTTTTGAAAGACCTTGTATACAGAAGTTACAATTTGCTTCTAATCAATATATCGTCTGCAATATTTACTAATGGAACAACTACAAAAAATGATGTACACACAGAAACTCCTATAATATACACCTGTTTAAATATCAATAGCACATAAACAAACCATTGATTGTTAGGGAGCGCTACGCCAGGATATTATTATTTAGTTTGAATCCTTGACAAAAACTAATCACATTAATTATCAGACTATGAAATGGAAACAGAAAATAGTAGCCAAATTCTAGAAAGATAAGTGCAAGCAAAGACTAGTGTGAAACAAAAACATATCAATGTGAGTTTGAAGTGTTAGAGGTTATATAAGGAATTCAAACTACCCAGATAGCATTTTTTTTTAAAAAAAAATTGTATAAACTACAAAAACAAACAATGTTCAGGTTAGCAATAATTTTATTAGAGCAAAACATTATCATCAAAGAGAGTATATAGTGCATTAATGGTGAGTGTAGATATTTAAAAAAAAAACAGAAAAAGTGAGACACGTAACTTACAACACAAGTACCGCTTTATTATCTAATTATAAAAACATGTTAATAAACTGTGATTTATTTGTTTTTTTTTTCGCCGATGGATAGAAAAATGAAGAAAATGAAATGACAAAAATTAATATTACCTAATTTTCCACAACATACTAAGGTTTTTTTTGAAATCACTGCATGAATTAACGTTTGACGAACCTTCGTCCAAAAATAACTGATACCATCAATTAAAACACTTTCATAATAGATTCTGATGACCCAATGTCCACTGAACTTATTCATCAGATGGATAAAAATAATCTGTTTAATATGAGAACTGTGGACATATTGATTTTGTGAAAATGATGACGTAGTCACTTCATCTCTCATGGAAGTACTCTCGATTTGTGGTGATGTATTATTTCCAGCACTGTTCCTATTAATTAAATCATATGTGAAAGTCCACACTAATTGGTCATTGTGTGGTGTGAGCTACTTATAAGTAGTATATGACGTGAGTGTCAACGTAATGTCTGGCAGCGGAAGATGGGGAGAGATCAAGAAAGGAAGAGTTAGAACACAATGGAATTTGTATGAAACGCATGAATAGTGACAATGGATTGATGTTTGGCAACAGGAACAGTCCAGTTCGATAGGATGGACTGATAATTTGCAAATGAACGATTTACGATATGGTTTTCCAATTTTACTGAGTAACTCTGTAATTTTCGTTTAAGTGTACACAATCTACTTTTTCATCAACGCGGCAGGTCAATGACTGTTAACAACTAGCATTCTTAAAGGCTTAGTTGAAGTGTTAATTCAAAGAAATTGTAATGTACATCCTCATTGCTTTGTTTCCAATCGAATAAAAGGTTCAAGATAGTGAAAATCTTGTATCGAATAAACGTAAATACAATAAATGAAAGGTCGTGTAATAGGAGACATAGCAAAGTAATGGAAATCGAAATAAAGTCTACTAGCAATTACTTCATACACTACGATATTACCGGAACAATGGATAATTTGAAACAAAAAAGTATATACACTTACAAGGATCATTCGATGCAATACGAATTTGTTCACCAATCAGAATACGTTCTAATGCATCATCTTCAATGCCCAAACCAAACCAATGATAACATGGGAATCTATAAATTATTGTATTTTAACACAATTTTTTCAATATAAAAAAAATACTGAAATTTGTAAACATAAAACTAATGTAGAATTGATTTTACATCTCTACAAGTATTCTCCCATTCAATAGACTGGATGGCAATACTGATAGAGTGAAGGAATACACCAGATGGAATAATTTACTAGCCAAAATGTGTACATCTTATCATCAAATATCCATTTTCAAAACAAGAATATTCTTGACTGTCTTTATCTGCATGTCTTCTATAGCTGAACATACCCTGATAGCGCCATACATCCAGACTCGACACTGTTACACATCCACCGCATACCACTGTGGGTAGTACACGCCTCACTACCACTGGTTTAGAGATCTAGTGCATGTGTAAAACTTGGCTTTAACACTTTATTTGCTTGAAAATGTTAACACGTCATTAAATTTAGTTCACTTATAAAGCATTATAAATACATACAGAACAGTCATAATATAAAGTATCAAATAATTAAAATTATATCAGTTATACATAAAGAGATAACAATATTTCATTGATTGACAGTTTCAATACCATGTGTGTAATTTTAATGGTAGGTGATATGCTGTGTATTTTAACGTTAAAACACTGGATTTATGGACCATAGCCTAGTCTCCAGAATGTTTAAACTCTCAAAAGCTAAGCATAAAATATGATGAAAGGTAATGCACACAGACAGTTAGGATATTCAAAGATTCACACATGTGAACTGGAGATTCTGCAAGCCTCTAAGAAATAAGTTAAAATTAATAACAAAATTTAGTAACTATACAATCGAAAAATATAGTGCATTTGCTAGAATTCTCATTGAAGGGATTTTAAAGAAAATTGATTGAACAAAACAGATTAGACGTTTTAACAGCTTTTGAAAAAAATTTTCAAGGAGACAACGAGAACGATTTGTTATATTGTACCGTTTATGAATAGACTGCCGTGCTAGTTAGTGTATCATATATGCGTGTCCATATTACTGAAATAGTTTAAAATCTCTGTGTACTGATGATGAAAACCATTCGAAGCAAAATTTCATAATCTATTGACGACTGAATACAAGTGTATTCAAATTAATAAAAAAAACGAAACAATTTACTGTTACATTAGATTAATTATTAAAATAAATGATATGAAGAAAAATCAATAAGGCGCCTTCAGAAACCGATAGATGAACTTACAAATGTAAATGATTAGTTGTACGATTATAGACAAGAATAAATTCAATAAACCATTTTGGCGCGGAACCAGAATTATCATGTCCAATTTGTATAGTGGACAATAAACCAAGATTACGATTCTAAATGGGTGAGAATATATACATTAAAATAAAGGGAAAACTAACAATAACAGTATGATCGTTGACAGTAAATGAGAGATAAAAAAAGCATAAAATACCAATAAAGTTAGATAAATACTCGTTACAAGTCACCTGTAATAGTATGTACATATTCGGAGGTTAGAAAGGCAGGCAAATTCCTCATGCTTTTGAGGGTATAACAGTCTTTGTAGCTCTCTATTTGCTACATCAAATAAACGTTATAAATACATTCGAAAGTGATCAACGAACAATTTTTTGACTCATTAAAATTCAAAAAAGTCACAGCAATTGATAGGTTTAAGTCTAGCCAATGTATTAAAAAAAATCGGCTGCTTTACTAAACATTCTAAGTTTCTATTTCCTATTCTTCTAACAGTCTAATAAGTAAAGTTGAAATGTCTAATTCTCGAAAAGCACCCATAGTTTTGTTATGTGACAAAAAGGCTTATATATATATATATATATTCTAGAACCATCATCTTAAACCGTTGCAAAAACTGTCAAAACCAAAACTTTGGACTTAACATTTTCAAAAAAATTCTCCTTTAGATATGGACTGGTAATTTCTCGAAATTTTAAATTATATGTCAGTTATATGTGCATCAGTTCGAGCTGTCAGAACAAGTCAGCAAAGAGAGATGAAAACATCAAAACCTAAACCAGCCTACTTAGAAGTAGTAACAGTTCTCAATATAAAGGATTAAGTATAGAAATAATCTTAAGGAATAAAAGATTTCAAGACTAGGGATATAAGGATAAACAAAGAGTGAGCGGATTTGATAACTACGACAGGATGAGACGATAGAGACTTCTTTGACACTATAATTTACTGAGAAAATAGTCAGCATCATGCACAATGTTTATAACGGGTTAAACTGCAAAATCATGCATCCAGAGCAGCTCAAAGAGTCGTTCCAAGTGAAGACCGGTATCGGAGCAGCTCTGGAAGGTGTGCAAACCTTTATATACCTGGACAGCATCACTCATAAACATGGTGAATCTGATGCACATGTAAACACACACATTCGCAAAGCAAGCGTAGTATTCCTACAATTGAAAAGTACTTGCAATTCAAAATAACTGTCAACCAACACCGAACTAACATTTTTCTATATGAAAGGCAAAACAGTTCTGTTGTATGGAGCGGTAATTTGAAGAACTACAAAACACATCATCCAAAAGATACAGGTGTCTATTAACAGTTGTCGTCTACACAAGATACTCCGGATTCGTTGGCCAGACATTGTCAGTAACAACTTACTGTGGGAGAGAACAAACCAGCTTTCAGCTCAAGGTGAAATTAGCACAGTGCTGGAGGTGGATATGATACACATTGTGGGAATCTCCAAACTGCATCGCGAGGCAAGTCCTAACTTGGAATCTTCAAGGACAAAGGCGAAGAGGTATACCTATGCTCCATTAGGGGCAAAATGCCAAACCAATTAAGCAGGCACTCAACAAAAGCTGAATTAGTTAGGTTTCAAATTACAGAGACATCATTCATTAAAATCTTTATTGAATTTCGGAACACAATGTAAAACAAAAAAACGAAGATTAGGCAGAAATTTAACAAATATAAAAACACTTACTTTGATTTGAATAAGATTATGACCATGTGGAATACTGATCACTTGAGTTGAACCAAAATGACCATGAATTTTAATCCATGCATTTGCTGTCGATGTTATTCCACTACTATGTTTTCGACCATTGCATATAAATATTTCATAGATAACTTCGGTTTGATTAATCATTCGTGTAAATGAAAAATAATCTACAGCATTTAATGATAATAAATGTACTAAGAATTGTTCACGTTCTTCTTCACATCGTAAGAAAGCATATCTTGTGTATAAATGCCTAATCATGAAACAAAATACAAATACAATAGAATGAAATGAAAATCGGGTAGTTTAACTAGCTCCAGTATAAATTATTACAAATAGTTAAATAGAGGAGAAAAAATATATATGATGAATAATTTAACTAAGTTGTCGTTAATTGAATTTCATATTCAGTTAACAAAGAAACAGAGAAGAGAGGACACGAAAACTATCATTCATTTCAATATACTTTTCTAATCTAAATATACGATGACTTGTTTTTCTGTTAGTAGAGCACTTGATCTTTAACCATTAGGTTGTAGATTTGCATCTCTTTAATAAATCTTAGACAAAAAAAAAGACTGAAATGTTACAACTGAGTAGGCAATTAATTCATAAGTTTTTAAGTTATTTCATATATGGGAAGCAGGCTATTATTATTATGATTAACTCTTATCAGTTAGTCAGTTATATATAATCAAAGGAGAATTGGACGTAAATGTATGTTAGCCCGAATTGCTACAGTATATTAAGACGATGAGATAGGATTAACTAACAAGAGGTCAAAGTAAAAAGTAGTAACAATACTAGAAAGATTGAACATTGTGAGTATAATTTGACAAGACAGAAATTAAAGGGTATGTGTATAGGAGAAGTAATAAAACTCAAAAAATGAAGTTAAGATATATATATAGTAAATGCATCTATATCACTATGATTGACTGTGAGCGTTGTTACTCACAATTTTCAACTATTGATGATGATCAGTGAAAAGATTCCAGCCTGGTAAGCTGAGAACAACAGTCAATGACTTTAAGAACCGATATCAACAATTGGTTTAGACCTACTAAAAAATAACGATCTCAACATGAGTAAGTGGATTTATACATTTTTTCTACAATTTAAGAGACCGTTAGTGCACTTATAAAATAAAAGCCAGTTTATAAACAATTATACCTTAAAAGTTTAGTATCCATTAAAAGACAAGTAAGATGGGCAGATAACAACTTCTTTTCTAAAGCTAAACGAACAAATGCTCTGGCGAAACCAATATCTGTTTTAACAATTTTCATCGACTGAATTGAATGAATATCATTAATTAAAGAATGTTCAATAAATTGTGACCCAAATATTTTACGTAAATCTATAACCATTCCAGCACCACATGGGTCAGCCGAAATGAGTGGTCCACTGACAACATTGCCAACACCGTTACTGCTTTCAGTATTATTGTTGTTAGAAGATTGACCTGGACGAAATGAATTTGAACTCGAATCTTGTGGTCGAGATGAAGCACTTTGAGAACGATTAGAAGAACCACGAACGTTTAACATTTGAAGTTTCATTCTCCAACCAGTCAAACCGGATGATAATTTTGGTGAAAAGGTAGATGACGATGATGTAGTGGATGAATAGCTTGGATCTTGCCAAGGAAAACGTACAGATCGGTAAGGAGATGAAGTGGTCTTAGACAACTGATTAGATTCCGTCATATATACTGCATCATTTGAGAACTTGCGAACACGTTTTAATGAGCTGCAACCTAAGCAACAAAAGGATAGGGAGGATAAAATAAAATACAATTTAAAGTTATTCCGAAGGAAAAGATGAGATTATAAAAATACAAAATGAATATTCACTAGTATGTATACCTTGAAAAAACTGACATTGATTATAAACGAAGAAATATATGACATATCTTGGCATTTATTTGGATGCGATACCTATAAACCTTCGACTTTATACTTTAAAAAATGACATACTCAATCTTTGAAGTTGTAATGCTACAGTCGGTGTGAAGTAATGGAGACAAAGGTAATCTTAAAAAAGGGTAGAAATCATTTGTATCGCTAAGTTAAGAACATTGGGTTTCCTCTTATACTAAAGCAAACTTGGTGAATACACTCAATAATCGCTTTTGTACACATTTATAAGAATTAGCAATGAAACAGAATGGATCAAAGCAAAACTTATGTCAATCATTGAAATATAATATACTCTCAGAACACAAGAACATTTACGTAATAATGTGGTTACACAAAAGAAGAGATATTAAGACAGTTCGTAACAGATGTAGAATAAATGGGAATAAATCATATTGTGAAATACGTTGTAGCATGTTACATATACGACCAACATTGTTTAGACAAAAAACTGGAAACCAGAAAGCACTAAGGCAAGGGTTTCTTCTGAGTATACAATCCAGTACAGAAGTGGGCATCTATGACCCCACTGGGGATCGAACTCAGGATATTTAGGCCTCATATGGAACACTTAACCTTCAAACCACCAAGTTGGCACCCAATGAGTCTCATACTAAGATAAAACAGCTGTCCAGTGTTTCCCGGTTTTTAGTGGTTGGTTAATTAAAAGCAGGCTTTGATGTGAAACCCTAGTTTTGGAATATTTAAACACATTTATTCACTAGTTAACAGTTAACAAAGCTTATTCAACACTGAATGAATATTTATAGACTTTGTATTGATAGTTCATTGTAAACTATCTACACAAATTTTTTTCTTTGAAACTTAATTTACCTTGCTTCACAACAATAAGTACACGAACCCATGACTAATTAGATCGTAACGTACCAACTAAAACTGTTCAGAATATATAGTATTTCAACTCGTTTTTTTAAATTTTCTATAATCCTTAAAATGTCAGAAATGAAGAGGAGAACCAATTTGATTTCAAACGAAAAAAGAAAAAAACCTCATTAAAAAAAGGTTATTGAAGATGGATACAGTGTGAAAGATGCGGCACTTCTTGTGGTGACGTGAATTACCAGGCAGCGGCAAATGTGATAAGGTTATATATATGAAAATGAATCAAGAGTTGAAAAGAAAAAAACCAGGGAAACCATCAAATATAAGAAAATCAATGAAGGGATTTTCAACTTTGTTGAAGAATTAATAGAATTAAACCCATTAATAACAAATTCGAGAAAAAAAAAAATATAAAACATGTTTTCTATAAACCTATTCCTCTATCAACTCAAGAACACAAAGTCTAAGAAAGCAAATTGAAACTTGTCAACTTCGTGAAACGCTTTGATCACAAGGCAATTTAAAAGCATTTTATAAAACCGTGATAATGTGTGCATAGGATTTTATCACTCCCAGTCAGTCATTAGTCTGGTACATCACTGTGTTGAATCTGTGTGGTAACTTGAACAGATTCATGTATGTGGAAGATAATACGTTGTTTACGACTGAATGGTATAAATACCTGGATCACATGAACAGAAAAAAACGAGTAAGGATAAACAAAGATGATATTAACTATGCATTACCTGAATATTTTGTATCAGTTTGAGATGATTTTTGTTGTAAATCAGGTGATAATGTTTGCAGATCCGACGGTAGGCGAGAATTCACACTACCTACATTAACACGACGATGCAGATCAGATATATGAGGTGAACTACTACACGGTGATGGCGTAGGTGGTGATGATTCAAGAGTGAGCAATTCACAGTCATTTATTGCCAATTCTTTATTGGTTTGTTTCATTAATTCAACACGTTTAGCATACAATACCAAGTGTGACCATAAAGCTGATTTACCCTTTATAAAAAAAAGAATACGCAGAAATTTGAAAATATTTTTAAAAATATTCAAGCGGTGAAGTAAAGGTCAGTAGATTGTTTGTTTACTTAAAATGGCATAATCACTAAATAGATCGACATTACATACATTTGTGAATCAAAATCTAATTAAGAGCGTAAAATAGTCAACGAACTGATGACAGATTATCCACAGGAATTAGTTCATATGAAAAATTTTATAGGTTACAACATAGGAAATAGATTATAACTATCAACAGTAAACATATTTGTGTACTAACAGACAGAAGTGTGTTTTACTTACTGTTTTTTTATTCAGACCATGAGACCATATACGTTCCAGTAGATCACATAAGCCAGAAACTAGTGTATTTTCTTCAATTACAGAAATATTTGGATCACAATGTCCCATTTCAATTGCTTCTTGACCAATTTTCTTGAGGACCATTCGTTTAGTCTATGACAACATATGGATAAATTGTCAATGTCATTGTTTTAAAGATTGAATGATACAATATTCTGTTAGTTATAAACCAGAAAGTTAAATTATTATTATTAAAGTAGCACTCCCACATTGATAAAAGAGTAATTTTAAATCTTAGTTGAAACGTCAGATATTTCTGGTATTGAGAAAAACCATTCAGAATTTACCGTTGAGAAGATAAGCTGTGGCAAAATGCTAACAGCTCAATTCTATCTTAAGTTTCTACTGCTGATATTGTCCAGACAGACAATGAAGGCGTCACCATTGAAACACTCGGAGAACGCAAGTTCACTAGTAACAGACAAATCCAAGTAATAGTATTATGAGAAATAAACACAAGGAATACTTTAAAGGAAATCAACGACAAAATATAAGATAATACTATACCATAGAATATAGGGGGAGATGAAAAAGGAATGTATCTGAGCCAACGTAGCTCAATCTTGTATATTGTCACTTCAGTTCTGAAAGCAGTAATCACGAATACTATTTACAGAACTTAACAAGAAATTCAGCACCTCCCAGTTAATAGGAAATAATGAGCTGATATCTGTTATATCCGGTCTCGCTTAGATGATCAAGAGGTTAGAATGGTGATCTATCGATCAATTAATCAATCAATCAAGAAAAACACAACAGTTGTTATCTTTCTGTAAACAATCAACAGACAAATCTAGGTACAAGTTAGTTCTAACAGAAATGGGAAAACTGTTTTTCTACGGTCTTATATATATATATATAACATATTGTAGAAATGTGTTTGGAAATACATTTCGGTACTGAATAATGAGATCAGATATACATGAGGGAATGAGGATAAAAGTGCACAGATTTTGCCCTAACACAATCGAGTAGTTAGTTAAATTAAGAGCCTATCTGCTGAAAAGTCTGAGTCAGTTTTATAAGAAACAAACAGACAGACCATATAAAGATGTTAAGTGGTGGGAGGTGGCCGATAGGAAGCCGTGTTTGACACTGGTTTCATGTTAGCCGGTACTCATCAGTAAAGCGTTCCTGCTATCTTGAAGCAGCCGATGCTCTTTGTGGGACACAAAGACAGATTACCCAGCTTTGCAATCTGAGGAATCACCACTGAGTTACTCGGGCTATAAGTGACCTTTTGTAGGATAGAGTTGTTTTTAACTGATGAATCATTCAGTACTGACCGATGTCATATTTCGCTAGTCCTTTAGTAATAAAAATCTTTCGATAAAGTTGTAATGTTTAGTGACCGACAGAATTTAATTAACACCAAAGAATTAAATGAACAGGACAATGATCGTTAGTCGGTAACTAATCAACTCTACACTGTCTATCAGTTATAGTCAAAAAATAATTCCACCTATCACCCCCCCCGTTAATCAATTAAAATTACCAAAGTAAACTAAAAACAAAAAAAAAGATATCCACTCTGTGATTACCCTATGCTTGCATTCTTCCAGTAATGCGTCAACAAAATCCCAATTAGCTTGAGCCATTCCATTGCGCTGCAGATCAGCAAACTGATGATGTGCATGCACAAAACAACGATTCACTGATTTCGCATTATTTCCATTGGATATATTGGAATTCTGAAAGATGAAATTCCAGTTTTTTTTTAAAAAAAAAAGATAAAGTATTAATGATAATCATAATAAGTTCAATTATCTGATTCAGTGAAATAGATATAAAGTTGTAGAATTTAGAATTATTGAAACTTGACAAGTAATACGTGTGACCAGATTGTTTGGAATTTATGGCACAAATACATCACATGTTTCTGATCAACTCTGTATTTTCATTGTTCGATCAAAATTTATAAAAAGGATTTGTTGCTTTAAATTTCTGATAAGAATACTTCATTTACTAGGTACGAATTCATGTAATTAGCTCAAACGACGCCCCAAGTGTGGAGGCAAGTGATAATAACTAGCTTTCTAAATCGTAGTTCGTTGAGTAGGGTTGTAACCTGTAACTTAGTGGCTGAAAGTTCAATTCCTTAACCACTGAACAACTAATCTGCTCTAGCAATATCATTCAGTAGTTCAGTTAGAGTAAATAGAATGGATTTTGAACCTGAAACCAACCCGTGTATTTCGGCCAACAGGGCATCGGAAACGCAGAGTAAAGACTTGAATAAAAAAGTAATCCCTTACATTTAGCGACATGACAATGACTGGTTGGTTATAATATGGGTATTTTTTACAAAACGGAGCAAAACCAACTAGAGTGCGCTACAGATATCGCTGATGTCAGAAATGAAAACTATTGGATACATACTCAGTGATCCAACGGTTAAATGATTCCCGAGAGGCCTGTAGCTGCTAATGATTCTTGGGTTAGTTACAACGTAGAACTTCGTACGTACGTACATAAGTACAGGTTGCCATACTACATTAGCACAGAGATGCAATTGTGGATTCAAATCCCATAGTAGTAGAAGTAGCAGAAGTGTTAGCAGTACAAGGGAATTTTAGGGTTCGACGATATTATTCAAGAACTAGAATCTAGTGAAATAAATTTAGAAAGGGAAAGATAGAGGGGATGAGAAACTCAGAAGATAAGGACTTCAGAGAACACAAAGAATGGATGCAGCTGTGCCATTGCGAACAATTTTGAGCTGTCACTCAAGGTCCCTAACCATCGGTTACTATCATCTCGCGGACCCCAAACAGGAAGCTTACATTTACCAACATGACTCAGTGACTTCATGGATTTCTGCCATGTTTTGGTCTGGCCACTCCTAGCATTTTTCTAACCTACTCCGACATCATAGCTCATAGAGACAGTCCGTGGTTTGGCATGTCCTAACTACCTCAACCGATGCAGTTTCACTACTTCATTTATTGATCTGCCAGTCTTACCTAGGACCCGTTTCTTAACAACTGGATTGCTTACTCGATAGTACCAAGATAAACGTCTAATGCTCCAGAGACACCTATGATCGAAAACCAGTAACCTACGAATATCTTCTGCTCTTACAGGCCATGTTTCGCAGTCATAAATTAGAACGGAGCGAACTGCTGCGCAGCACATACTCGTCCTTTGGGTAACAAACGGATATCTCGCCTACGCCATAAGTGACGCAGTTTGGCGAAAGCCAATCGAGGCTTCTGTATCTGTACTGAGATTTCGTTAGGCACCAGGCCATCAGCACTGATGAGACTCCCCAAATAAGTGAAGTGGTGAACATGCACAACTTCTTCGCTCTTTGTCACTAGTTCACGTGCCAATGCAACCCAGTCTTGAAGCAACATTTTGCATTTCGAGGGGAAAACCGCATCCCGAACATGCTTGCATTGTTGCTTAGGGTAGTCAGAAGACTCTGCATTTTGTCAGCATCTTCACCAGGTAGGAGGACTATATCATCGGCATATTCTAAGTCAATAAGTGAGCCACTTGGCAGAAGGTCTACTCCCGAAAATTCAGACGAGGATAAGGTTATTTCTAGGAGCATGTCTATGATAAAATTAAACAAAAATGGAGAAAGTGGACATCCTTGACGGACACCACTTGAAGTGGAGAATTCCAATGACAGTTCGCCATAAGCTCTCACTCGACCAGTGGTGTTCGAGTAGAGAGCTTGTATAAGGTTAATGTACTTCTTTGGTACACCTTTCAATGGCAGACACTGCCACAGAACCTCACGATCCACTGAGTCAAATGCCGCTTTTAGGTCCAGGAAAACAACTATTGTAGGACGCCTAAATGTGTGTCCGTGTTCCAGAACCTGTCGTAGTGTGAAAATGTGGTCTATACAACCACGTCCAGGTCGAAAACCAGATTGGTTTTCTCGAGTTTGCTCTTCACGAGCTTTCATTAAGCGTCGAAGTGTTACTGAGGCCAATATTTTAGATACTATATTAGTTAGACTTATTCCCCTGTGATTGTCACGAGAAGACTTTTGTCCTTTCTTATAGATCGGGACAATCAGTGATTGAGACCAGTCAGATGGGATTACGTCCAGTTCCCAGATTCTACCTAAGATCTCGGTCAACCTAGTTGCTAAAACTGGACCACCATCCTTAAATATCTCAGGGGTCAGTGTATCAGGACCCGCAGCTCGCCCTCGTTTCAGATTTCCTAACGCTTTTTCAACTTCATTAAGACTAGGGGGACTTAGGTCGATTTGCCATTCAGGATGACTGGAGATCGTGGGTAACCGAAGAGTGGCTCGAGGCCAGTTGAACTGATCCCTAGTGTTCTGCCCATCGATCCAGTCTCCTGGATTGAGAATAAATAATAGTCCCGTCATTTTCTGAGATAGTCTCACTTACACTAGGATTCCTAATACCAGTTTCCTTGATAAGTCGGAAAAGTTGTCTACTGTTGCCGATCGCCGCTGCCTTTTCCATAGCTCTCGCTTTCGCCACCCACCACTGTTCGCGATCGTTACGTAGGCTTTTTATAAGCCTGCGCCTAAGTTGACTTCGTTCTTCATCATGTTCAGAGCCAGATGGGATGAGTTTTCGGGCGTCCATCAGATCGGTGGATGCTACTGAGATCCACGGCTTCATTCTAGCCTTATGGTCAACTTTCTTACGGTGTCTTTCCTACGCCCAGTAATCTGAACATGTACCAAAGAACGAGCTACAGTCTTCTATCGAGCCTCTCCATCGGTGGATGATGGCGATGTGATCTAGTTGGGTCCAACGTTGAGACGACTTTCGGGGTGACCAGGTCAAGAGATGTTTTTCCTTATGCTTAAAGTTAGTGTTTGCTAGAAAAAGGCGGTTATCTGAGCGCAGTTGCAAGAGACGGTCACCACTGTCTGTTTCCTGAGCCACGACACAATAAGATCCATCGAGGAGTCTTTCATTTTCACTTAGTCTACCTACTTGGGAACCAGCCACAGTTACAACATAAAAGCGCCGACTTTTTCGGAGATTCGAAAGCTTTCTGCAAAATTCATCTTTAACCTCGTCTGAACTGCAGTCAGTGGGGACGTAGAGAGAAAACAAAGAGGCAACGGCGAGTGTCCCTATCTTTATGAGTTCGTACCGTCCCGTTTAGTCGGACAGCGCATAAGCGACTGTCTATCGGGATCTAGCCTAAGAGATCTAGTTCTGCCCTAGGAATTAATATTGTACATACACCAGAGAGGCCACGGGAAGCAGCAGCAGGGCTTACAGATACACGGAGCGTAAACCAAGTTGGTTCTCTATCTGGACAAGGTGAAGTCAATTTAGTCACTTCACTTGGATCCAGTATGTGCGTTTCGGAGACGCAGCATACATAGCAACTTGAATCGACTTACGTACGTACGAAGCTCTACGGTGTAGATGACTGACTGATATCAAACAGAATGGAAGTGCTTGTATTTAGTCACGAAAAATAAATGTTAAACAATAAAACAGCACATAAAGTACTTTTCGGTAGGTAGAGAAAGAAAATTTACCGCTTACCATAAGACTGGATTTATTCAAATTATTTAAAGCATCTGTATTCATAGTATTAGTGAGAGACGATAAAGGAACAACTCGTTTAATCGGTGTAGACATACAACCAATCGGACTATTCATTGTTAAACTATGAGATGATAGTGATGATGAAGTTTCAACATTGCCTGATAGTGGTGATATAATATGTCGACTAATTTTATCTGATTGTGAAATAACATTATGATAAAAGTGATTTATTGAAGACGATGTACATAAACCATGCGTGGATAACGTTGAAGCATCATTACATATTGATTGTTGGCTATTATTATTATTATTATTATTATTGCCAACAGAATTAGACAAACGATGTTTATGACTTGGAGACATCAGTATATCTGCAACTGATGATGCATACGAGCGTAGTATATGATTATTTAATGTTGGAAATTTACCAATTTGATGTTCATCAACCATATCGAATGATAGGGATGATGATGGTAGTAAACATTCAGGTGATTGATCATAAGTAGACAGTTTGTTGTTCTTGTTGTTGTTGGTAGTATTATGAGTAGTACTGGTAGTAGTTGATTCAGTTTTAATATCATATAGTAAATCTGGCAGGAGAACTAAATTAATTTGACCAAAAAAAACAAACAATTTTATTCAAATAAACTTAAATTCATAATGTCTGCTTAAAAATTAAATTACAGCTAAATGTGTATATGTTGTGATTGTTGGAAACAATATATCAAATCAGTGAGAGAGTAGTTATATAAAAATATGATAATAAATATATAAAGCACATTAGAAACAAAACAAATCCCATTTGAAAATATGATGATGAACAATAAAAACATTCAATATTCATAGAAAGATAAAAGGATGAAGCTAATATAATGACTAAGAAAATGGTTCTGATGGATGGATACCTTTCATTAACTCGAGTGTTGAGCAGGAACACGAGGGTAATTATCATTTCCTGGTGACCTAAAAATGTGGAACTACAGTTCTTCTTGAAATGACCAAAAAGGGAAGAGGATAGATAAGTAGTGGACCTAACGACCTCGGAGTGTGACCACATAGCACAAGAGGAAACTCTTTGATACCAGTTATAACACATGGCTTTTTTTTATCCCTGCAATTTTTAGACCTTGCCATCGAAAACTCATATCCGTAAGACCAAGTGAGATATTCTCGGTTTAAGGTTGAACTTTAAACTATCACTCTTGAGAATAAATGTACGATTAACTACCGAAATATGTTGAGGCTTAATATTAAAATGTAAGATTACTGAGGTAAACTGTTCAGTGCAAGAATTGAACGACTAATTTATAAAAATTAATCTACTACCCACATACAATATTTAAAAAGAAAGAAACAATTCATTAATCTATGTTATGTAGTTGACTGAACACTACAATTACCAAGTAGTAAGTGATATATACATGAAATTCGTAGTGAAGTAACTTGAACCAATTCATTCCTAAAATGATCAAAAACTAATTTTGTGCAGCTGTTAAAATTGTAAATTGTATTATTCATAGATTGACCTCAGTCAGGATACCATTGAAAACGAGGAATTACTGGAGAGTTGTTTCGTTCTAGTGTAGAACTAACTCCTCAGCCTTACTCACGCATGGATTCCACTACTTGAGTCTTGCAACAAACACTGAACCGTTAGAAATCTTGGAAAGGTGATATCCTTGGTACGATTTCAACTCCAATCAATTTCACAATAAAGTGCGATGACCATCAGTCTTTAAAGGGTACAATATACACATGATTGATCGAACTCAACAAAACTATGTCCATTCATAGCAATATCATAAATCAATAAGACAATTAAACTCACCATTATTATTATTATTGTTATTATTATTATTATTAGTATTATTATTAATTTGACAATTTATATTTTCGAATACTGGCTTAGAATTTAAATCAGGAAAATGTGAATCGACTGACTTGTATTGAAGTTGTTGATCATAATCAAACATCAAATCATAACTAATATGTTCCGGTAATAAAATTGTATTCAGTAAAGTATTATTATTATTGTTAGATCGAAATACTACTTTCCGTTCATGACGTGATTTTGATGATAATGATAATAATAAATGAAAAACAGTTAAATGCATTGGTGGTGAATTAGAAATAGGCATAGTTTTATTCTGTGAAACATTGTTGAGTGAATTATGCCAATTTAAACGTGAATCTAAAAAACTAGCAAATATTTGTGTCTCTAGAAATGCGCTTAAAAAAGGTAAACGTGTTTCTGGTTGGTCACTTAAAAAGCCAACTTTATCAAATGCATGTAAACCAGAGGAAATATTCTCTGCTTTTTGTTCATTTCTATCTAAGATGAAATAATTTTCATAATCTTGGAATATCATTGCAAAATTGGCAAGAAATAAATTTCTTATTGCTGCATTTATATGTAATAATTTAGCATAACTTGAATAAACCTATAATAAAATGTGGAAAAAAAAGGAGAAAAGAAGGTGATTCATTTAAGTTATCAAAGAATAATTTTGTTTCACTGAAAGGTTAATTAATTAGATTAATAATAAAAAAAGACTATGAATTCGAGTCATTGACATTGGTAGCGCGTGGCGAGGGTTAGAGAGTTATAAAGTGAGCGATAGATTTGATTATGAACAAGATGATCTCAGCTGCTATTAGAAGTATGAGGGTGGTCAGAACTTAGCAATGTGAATGCGTGAGATTGGTGACGCACAGCCTATTTATGGCAAGTTTTGATGTGTTAAATCCACACTTCAATAGGTCTTACAACCAGAACTGATGACCTTTAGGGTAAAATGATCGGTAGTATTTTCACGGTCAACTTTTTTCAAACCCTTTCTTTCGTTGTGAGAAGACAGCGTCGCTGTTCCACCCCTTTACAGTTGCAACTTTGTCCTAGAAGCTTAAGTTGGTGCTTCTAGTTTTACTGTTCCTCAACCGACCTTTCTGGCATGATAGGACCCAAAGGAACACATATTCCAACCAATACAGCTTAGTCGAGCCATCACATCCGACCACCACACAAAGGTAACAGCTACAATTAGGCCTTATGAAAGTCACTTGAAAACAATACAATCATAGTTTTGACAATGAGAATACACACTTGTCAACGCCAACTTTTATAATAAGTCCGCCATAAAATGAAAAATTGTGACGCAAAAACAATCATTGGCTGTTAGATATTTACCTCTTTTGAAACTATTAGTTTAGCTGCCTTTGAACAAGTTTCAAAATAGTTTGGTTGATCATCCTGTCCTTTACAACCATTGCCCGATGTACTATTATTATTATTATTGTTATTATTGTTTCCTGGGTAGAGCTGTTGTTGTTGTGACTTATTTGTATTCTCCATAGTCGGATTGTTCACTTTCGTCATTGTCATTGTTGGTTCATCTTGATTACGAACTGATTGTGATTGGTCGGGACGAGCAAAAGATGCTTTCTTATTACAGGTAAGAATTATAATTATGGTGAAATTCATGAAAAGAAAGAGCAAAAACATTCAGTACTATAGTAGATTAATTAATGAAAATTATTTCAGTCAGAATAGTTCAAGAACAAGGATCATAGCAATATATATATATATATATATATATATATATATATATATATAGTGTATATATATATAATGTGTATAGTGTATATATATATATATAGTGTATAAAAGAGAGAATTTGTAATATATGTTGTAGAGAGAAATTCATTTACTTCACCATGCATAGAATATAAATAATATAAGAAAAATTAATATATTTTACCACAGTATTTCCCGCAAAGCTGAAGGTAGGCTGTGCTGACAAGTGTCAACTAGCGTGAAACTTAGGTTCAGAGTTTCCTATCGACTACTTACTAATATCAAAAGATAGTGAACACTATGTTAAGTGACTTAGCTTAATGTTCACATCGCAATTTGATTGATAGAATCTAATTAGCACTAAAGACTAGACTAATATGACATTGGCCACGTCACAATGATCAACCAATGTGAGATTTCTATACGTTAAATAGCTCAATACAGAGTGATATAACAATTATATCACATCTACGAGTAGCAAATTTATTAAGTTAGTTCTACAAGAAAGCAAATACTCTCATTTAGATATTTAGGAAAAGACGAATCTATCGAAAAAAATATTTCTGTTTAATATATATATATATATATATATATATATATATATAATAAAAAATATACCAGTCAAGTGATGGTTTGTTATGTAATAATTTTATAAATTCGAATGTTTAATAAAGATGATGATTGTGAATTAGGAGATGGAGTGGATCAAGTGATAAATATTCTAAGCTATTAATCAATGAATTTGAAAAAAAAAATCAAGATACATAATTCAACGATTGATAATAACAGAATCGAAGTATAGTACAGAGCAGTGAGAATAAATTTGTGGTGAAATTAGTGTTGCATTGATGTAGTTTTACCTTCACATACATTGTGCCCACAATCCCAACTCTCACCAAATTAGAATGACTTTCGAATATGAGGTGCATTTTTTCTATTCGTGTTTAACGATTCAAGTCAAGATAAAGAAAACTGTTATGATGCATAAATGTTTCTAGTAATTTCTCCATTCTAATTTACTATTAACAATGTATGCACATACTTAAGGTCATAATTAAATGTAACCATCCAAATGATTGAGTAAAAGTATATGTGGTAAACAAAATATAAATCTCAAAGAACCTCTTACAAATTTTCATTCATTTTTAAAGTTTTCCAACTATTGAAAATGAAGAATAAGAATAGGATAAATTAGTAGTCAAAAGACAAAATTTAGACAGACCAATATTGTATCAATATATTGAATGTTAATCTTTTTCACTGTTCTATTAGTAATCAAAGTTTACTCGGTCAAGTTAAACAGTGACCCATTATTCATTACATCATACAGGCCCCTCTCTTTACAAGTCCCATGAATTTCACATGCTGCAAGTCACGAGGTAAAATGGTAAATTATTTATCAACATGATCAAAATAGCATATGATACTTACTCGTTGAAGTCCACTAAAATTTGTCAGTGAACTAGGGGGTTTCGGTCTCAGTACAGGAGCTGTTGTATGTGATGTTGTACAATTAGTGGATGTAGTAGTTTGAGTAATATTTCTCAAATCCTGAAAATTATTCTGATCGGTTGTACCTTGATTATTAAGACCTAAATAAGTGTAGATCAAGACAACTAATCATTGATATATTATGATTTAAGAACAATCTAATTATGGATAACAGCAATAAATAGTACAACAAAACAACTAAACATCTTTTTAGGTAATAAAGTTAACCTTATTTTGAAACTATGTAGAGCTATCCTGTCAATTGTAAATAGATAAAAGAAATTCGAAAATTTGTCTTTAAGGAATGTATTGTCACTTTAGAAATACACCAAATACATTACCATTGTTTCTGATCTATTCACACTGTTTGATGAGGTTGAAAGAAAATTTGTTTTCATTTTGTTTATTCATAGTCGATTAAATGCGTATCATTGATTGACATTTATTTATACAAACGCAAATAACTAATCGACAAATTTGAAGAATGACTTAATTATCACAAGTTTGCAAATGCCTATCCTATTATAACACTGAAACTTCTATTGACGAAATTCCAGACACAATGTAAATAAATTAAATCTTTCAAGAATAATTAACAAATGATCTACATCATCGCATACATTGAAATTCATATATACATGCAAAAATTTGTAGAATTTCCGCTAACAGATTAAACTGATTCAACGGGTTAAGTGAAATCACAGGTTTAATGCTATTGTAGTGAAGGAGAACACAGGTGGGGCAACCGGATTGTATTTAACGAAAATTACAGTTACTCAGTAAAATCGGAAAACCATATCGTAAATCGTTCATTTGCAAAATATAAGTTCATCATATCGAACATCAATCCATTGTCACTATTCATGCGTTTCATACAAATTCCATTGTGTTCTAACTCTTCCTTTCTTGATCTTCTCCCATCTTCTGCTGCCAGACATTACGTTGACGCTCACGTCATATACTACTTATAAGTAGCTCGCACCACACTATGACTTATGCTGATGTGAAAACTATTATTCCATCATATTGAATGTAAATCCATCAAAAAAATTGTAACCCTGATTTATCATCATTTATACTGTTCTTGGCTGCAAGTTTATTAAAAATAAGTAAAGACTTGATTTGAAAAATCCGTTGATACCGAACTATTAAATAACACATACATTATAGATAGTGTGACGGTGGATATTAGACAAAATTCCAAACATTCGTGTCCTGGACGCCCTGAGAGCTGTTACTAGTAACACCCAACGGCGTAAAAATTCAGAAGACGATACGAAACGTTGGCGACGTCTGTTATCGTACAAAATCACGGGCATAGGAAGCGAAAGCGAGAACGACATGTTAATGCCGTGGAGTGTATAGTTAGGATTAAAATTTTACATATACATATATGTGTGGGAAAATGGATGAGCCAACAAATTAAACGTACAGGAACTCAAATGTAGTTGAGGTGCTATAACAGTTTACAGTGGCGATTGGTTAGAGTTGTGAAGTCATCGAATACCAAGGATAAAAAGTATTTCATCCTAGTATGGTACTACTCCACAGCAGTATAAACGCACAGTGCATCCAAAGATTGAATTTAGGATCCTCGGGTTTTATGGAGACTAGTGAAATTAGCGATGACGGTTTGACTCGCGACATGACTGGACATATTATGGAAAAACGTGTACATGTAAGTTTAAATGGAGGTAAAAAGCACTAGACTCCTAACTCAAAAATTTATGAGAAATAAACACCATAACTTCATGGTAGTTATGACGTGAATGATAATGTAAGCTCAGGAAGGCTGAAGAACTTGGTTATTGATAAAAAATATTGTATATCCATCCCATTTAAATAAGAACAGTTATCATTATTACATCTTACTACTTTCAAACCGAACTGTCTAGTATGACGAGAAACCTAAGAATAAGTATTTCAAGTAAGGACAATATGCAAGTATGATCACCTCATTAGAGTAACAACTACGTTCGAGAGTTCAAAAAGTAAAAACTGATAAATACGATATTGCTGATGTGTTTCTAAAAATTAAACGTTTTCCACGATTTTTATGAATTAAAAACAAACGAACATACTTCGTGATAAATATTTAGCCAATTTCAAAATCTCTGATAGGGAGTGTTTGATTTCCTGACTATTTGGAAATTCCGGAATTTCATCCGGCACAATGACTCTTCCTTCATCGATGTAAACATAACAAACGTTTGCCTAGTTTAAGGATTGAGAAAAGAAGAGATTTAAAAAACACATGCATCTATGCTTTTATCGTTAAATAAATGCTAATGTTAAAGTAGGAAGACATCTAGACTACAAAAGTATTTGATCATATGTCTTCAAAAACACTCCTCATGTTTTGTGAACTAACAAATGAATAATGTTGAAGTTAGAAGCAAAACCCTAAATAAGAATGACGATTTGTTGAATAAAATTGTAAAGCTTCAATAATTGTGTTTAGAAGTACATGTTTCCATTCATAGCTACCCATTAGCTTACAATTATAAACTACGGTGGCAGATGTACCGTAGCTGGTTAGAATTAGTCCAATAACTGTAATAAGCAGTTGGATACATTGAGTGACATGACACAAATTCACTGACTCCTAATCCTCCGTTATACGTACTTTCATTTCGAAGCATTCTTTATATCTAGACTTTCTTACTACCACATTCACCATTGATTGGCATAATATAGTTTGTAAATTCATAAGATAAAATTCTATACAATATTCATAAGGTTAAGATAGAAATACACAAATCATGTATAAAACAATGACAATAAAAGAAAAGCATGAACATTTCACATACTTCACTAGCTAATTCAATTGTAGGTGAATAACAATATGCTTGTGTAGGATTATCTGAATCGTATTGTTTCATAAATGAATGTTTTGCATTTCGATGATCATTATGATGATTGGTGTTACATGTGTCTGATATATTAATACCCATAATAAATGGAACAGGAGCATCGACAAAATGTGTTAATGATACTGGTAATATTGGAGCGTATACATGCAACCAATAAAATGGTAATAACAAACATGTAACACATTCTGCAATCAACATTAAACGATAATAGACTATGAGAGAAAAAAAAAGAATGAAACGAATATAACTGTCGAACTTATCAGTAAAACATTTATTACTAATAGAAATTTTTTTTAAAAAAAAGCCCAATTAAGTAGCACATAAAAACTGTGTATGCTAAATACTGGCGGCAAGATTTATGATAACATAAAAATAAATATTAATTGATTTATTAATTAAAAAAAAGTTATTACTACGAGATAAATGATTCAATATTCTAACAACTGAAATTTTAGATCAGTCACATCAATAAACCAACGACCAATGATTTCATTATTATATCATAGAATATGTAACTTTTAGGACTAATTTACAAGTTGTTATGAGTATTATATTTTTATAGTATAATTATTAGAATATTTCTATATTCTCCTTATTGTACTCTCCTAGTTAACTATAGTTGCTGTACACATTTTACTATTCTTTAATTATGGCTAATTAATTATTTACCGCTTCCCTTCATTCTCATCTATTTTTAACGCAGTTATGCCTACATTGTAATTTCATATCCATGTAGGTGTGTCGTCAAGAAATTAACGTATAAGGTTACATACGTATGGGTTTGTTCATGAAGGATATGTAACTGCAACACTGATTAATGTTTTCTGTTGTCGAGTAAGAGGCATACACGCCGGTCGATTAAAAGGAGTTAAGATCATCTCGATCTCAAGTCAAGGTTAAGCTTCCAATCGAAGCGTCAGAATGATCAAAGCTATGGATGTTGGACGATTGTCGAAATAGCATGCGCAGGGTATAAAAATATTACAGGAATCTTATCGGAGTATTCGCTGGATATCGATTAGTCTGTTACATTAACAATTAAAGTGAGTAACACGTTTCCTTAACTCCAAGTCTGTTTAATATTGATATTCAAGTTGTTAATAATGAAAACTGATAATGGTAGTACATGGATACTTTATTCTACTCATAGTCAATATTGTGTTTATTACACAAATGAGTGATATGACCTCATGTTCAATTAAAAAACTTAATCATTATTAATAGAATACTATACACTAAAACTAATTTTTAAATCAATCATGAAGGAGAAAAAGCTCATTTATTGTCATATTTTACCTTTTGAGAATAAAATTATACGATATTCGAGAAGTGTACATGTAAATAAACGAATGAAATCATCCAAATCAATCAATTCAAATAATTCTTCAATGGAATATTCAAATAATGATAATTCTACATAATATTTCTGATCTAATTGTCCATTCATTAAATTTGCAATAGGTGATATAGGTGCTGAATCCGAAAAAAAAAAAAAAAGAAGAAAGCATACACAATTTAACGTTACCATTATCTACTTACAGTAAAAATATATTATTAGAAAGATTGAAAATATTAATAAATCCAATTGGAACTTATGCATTTACATATAATAAATGGAATTTTCTCTGTAAGGTCCACATGAACGGATGGTTGATGATAATAATATTGTCGAATCTACTAGTTGGCTAATTCCCCTTCATGCTTATTAACCTTGTGACTCTAATCAACGACAGAAAAATTTCTGGACATATTGGCCGATGAACTCATTCCTTCAAACTCTTAGTGCACTAAATCATGTATATAAAGATAGGTAGATTTGTCAGCCAACTCTCTTAACAAAGACTTTGGTTAGTTATATTTACTCCTTAATGGTGACGGTGAAGGAACAGTCACTGAAATGTTACAAATAAACTTCAAAACTGAAGGCTTCCTGCAAGCATTAAAACATCTACTTTTAAAGTGAAACTAACATGTACTTAGTAAGTGGAAAAAAAAACGCTATAGTATTTGCACAAAATATTTTCATTTGTGAGTAATGGTTACTTTACTTTACTTCAACATATCCCTTAGTGTCTATGTGCATAAAACCATAACGTATTTTTTCAGGTCCATGAAATTTGAATATAAATAAGTAACTAGTATCTTTTAAATAGTAAGTAATTATTAAAACCCAAATTCAATAGAATTAAAGAGCATTATAATGGTGAAAGTGAAAAATGAATACAGCAAAACTAATAACTAACCAGGACGATAACCATAATGAGTCCTAAATGGAGTGGAAAACGTTACATATTGACCGGCATTAGGAAGTTTAGTTCTAAACAACATATCATGAATACATTGTTCTAAGGTGGATTGAAGATATTTAGTATTGGGGGAAATATACATTATAGACCACAAATCCTCCAACCAATTAAACAAACCGAAAATGAACGGATGACGAGACAAAAGGCCAATAGCCTGGAAGAAATGAACAAAAGTTATCCATAAATTATATCACATCTAAAAAATAAATTTTTATAACAATAAAAGGAGCTATAGTCTTCCTACTTCACGACCTAAAACTATAACTTCATTGTAAATGTATCAGACTGTCAGATAAACTGGTAAACGTACTTAAATTAAAACAACAAGCTGCTAGGGGAGATGTGCAAGTTCTTGTAATTCATACTGAAAGCATAGTAAAGAAATGGGTTACTATTCAAGGCACTAGACTTTCAACCTTAGATACACAAGTTTAAACCAAGTTCCGTCACCGGTTTGGACAATCATATAAAAATACCAGGCTTTTCGAAATATACCTCAAAATTAATTTATAAAGGTCAAATCGGTCACTAGAAGCCCAAAAACCACTCATAGGATGAATAGCACATAAACCCAGCTTCATCATATCATGCTTCAAAAAAAGAAAGAGGAAATCACAATCAATGTGATGCAGCGCTATACGCCTACTAATGATAATAGGGAAGACAATAAGCATCCACTCTATGAAAGGCTGCAATCAATCGTCGAGATATGCCCAGCAACGGATTTGAATATTCTCATAGGAGACCTAAACTCCAAGGTTGGAATAGACAGTACTGGATATGAAGACAACATGGACTGAGGGAAAGGGGTGAAAACAGTGAGAGATTCGCGAATCTATGTTCCTTCAACAAATTGGACATATTAATCTCACACAAATGCACACACAAAGCTACATGTGTTTCACCGGATCACATTACACATAACCAAATCGATAATACCTGCATTAATAATGTTTCGGAAGGACCATGGAGGACGTAAGAACAAAGAGAGGAGCTGACAAAGTTTCATCAATTGGTGTCAGCCAAGATGAAACTGAAACTAAAGAAGCGCTGTACACTGGATATAGCATTACAAAACGTAAATATGTGCAAGGTCTAGCAATGAAAGCAGAAAAAGCTGAAAGAGAAGCAAACATCAGAAAACTATACGATACAACGAAGAAGCTTGCAGCAAAATATAGCAAACCAGAACGACCGGGCAAGAACAAAATAGGCGAACCAATCACCGATATTGAAGAACTGCGAAAACGGTGGGTAAAACTCTTCAATAGACCAGCCACAGTGAATCCACCTGACATCGAAGCAGAAATTACGGACCTTCCAAATGAGGTTAGCCCACCAACAATTGAAGAGATCAGCATGGCCATCAGACAGATCAAGAGTGAAAGCAACGAAATCAGACAACGTACCTGCTGAGGCATTGAAAGCAGAATTAACATTAACTGCAGAAATGATCCACGCATTCCTCATCAAGATTTAGGAAGAAAAACAAGTATAAAAAGACTGGAAGGAAGGATACCTGATCAAAATACCGTCGATCTTAGCAGATGTGGGAACTACAGAGGCATCACCCTACTCTCGATACCAGGTACAGTCTTCAACAGTGTTGTTAAACAGAATTGAAGATTTAATAGACGGCAAACTTCGAAATCAACAGGCTGCTTTCCGTAAGGATCTATCGTGTACCGATCAAATTGCAACACTACGGATCATTGTGGAACAACCAGTTTAATGGAACTCACCACTGTCCATCAACTTCATTGTCTACGAGAAAGCATTTAACGTGGACGGGATGAGACGATAGAGACTTCTTTGACACTATAATTTACTGAGAAAATAGTCAGCATCATGCACAATGTTTATAACGGGTTAAACTGCGAAATCATGCATCCAGAGCAGCTCAAAGAGTCGTTTCAAGTGAAGACCGGTATCGGAGCAGCTCTGGAAGGTGTGCAAACCTTTATATACCTGGACAGTATCACTCATAAACATGGTGAATCTGATGCACATGTAAACACACACATTCGCAAAGCAAGCGTAGTATTCCTACAATTGAAAAGTACCTGCAATTCAAAATAACTGTCAACCAACACCGAACTAACATTTTTCTATAGGAAAGGCAAAACAGTTCTGTTGTATGGAGCGGTAATTTGAAGAACTACAAAACACATCATCCAAAAGATACAGGTGTCTATTAACAATTGTCGTCTACACAAGATACTCCGGATTCGTTGGCCAGACACTGTCAGTAACAACTTACTGTGGGAGAGAACAAACCAGCTTTCAGCTCAAGAAGAAATTAGCACAGTGCTGAAGGTGCATATGATACACATTGTGGGAATCTCCAAACTGCATTGCGAGGCAAGTCCTAACTTGGAATCTTCAAGGACAAAGGCGAAGAGGTATACTGAAGAACATAGTATGTCGAGAATTGGAGACAGGCATGAAGAAAATTAAATGCAAATGGGTAAAACTGGAAAGCAGAGCTCAGGATGGAGTTGGTTGAAGAATGCTGGTTGGCGACCTATGTTCCATTGGGGTTAGCGAGCGTAGGTAAGTAGGTAACAAAACAATTTGCTTACAAACGTTTTCTGTAAACTCTAAAATATATACAGGGTAAACAGACTCACTACACTGAAATTACAGAAGTATAGTAATATGCGAATAAGGTACACAAACACAACTTAAACTAGTCAACCTAATATTCAGTTTCTTGTTCAAAATTTATGACTGAAACTTACTACCTCTCAGACTTCAGATACTGAGAAAAGTAAAGCGCGACATTCAAATAATAGAAAATACGTTAAGAACATATATTTTTTACCGATATGTGTAGCATAAATGTACTAACATCTAATTAACGGCCACAAAACGTCACGCCGCTGAGTTCCATATCAGAGAACCGTCTATGAAACCTGTTGTTTTTCGTTAGTTCTTAAACTACTTTAAATATACAACTCTTCATTTATTATCGGTTTAACTTCAAGAGTGAGAGAGTAGTTGGAAAAAGCGGAGAGATTATCAGTGTATGACATAGTTTCGAGGTATGAAACAAAGCTGTATAGGACTGGCATCTGTTCGCCCTTCATGACTCCCTCCCTGGGTGCGGTTCTAGAGAAAGTGAAACTTGGTGGCCTGAGACGCTAACAGACAGGGCTCAGAATAGAAACCAATAGTGGTCCTGTAGTAACTTTTTAAGATTTTCTTCACGTAACTAAGAGAAACAACTCTGACTGAAAAGATTCTTTCTTATTGTATTTCCATCAACTGAACTGTTTCTTCGACTACTATTAGTATCATTTTACTCTCATATACTAATTTCTACCAAATTTTTCCTTTATTCCCACTCTTCTTTCGCTATCTCACCACGACCGCATTTTCACTGTGGCGCATGTACATTTTGGTGCATACTTATATCAATATGTGTTTTAAATACTTAAATAAATAAAATGGTTCAATTTGAGGGGACAAACATCATGGTGAGACATAGCTTTTGAGAGGAACGTAATCGCAACATTCTAGAACGTATTACGTTTGTAATACCTCAAAAAATACCAGGTTAAATTCTTGATTCTGAACTTGAACATATGAGTCATTTTATTATCACATACAAGAAAGAAACTAGCGAATACGTCGGCCAGAAATTACAAACAAATAGGACGAAATGTTTGAAACGTGGGTTGTTGCAAACTAAACGGAGCCATTGAAGTTATGTCAACTGCAACAGTCTAGAGGAACAGTCATAGTAAAATTCTGAGTAGTCGGAAAGATAACACTGAAAAGTGTGGTAGAAAGGTAAATAGTTAATATGACATGGTATGGAATCACCCTTTTCAATATACTACAATATATATATATATATATATATATATATATATATATATATATATATATACATATACATATATATATACATGCTAATATCAAAAACAAAGCATAAAAATAATCATAAACGTGTGACATGAAAACTGAAAATCGGCTAAATCACACAATATTAATTAAAATATACTCGATAGTTTACTACTAACATAACAATACCCACCTTAGTAGTAAAAAGAGAATCTTTCACACTCTTGAAACATTGCTCGATAGCCTCTGGATTAAGCTCATCTTTTGTAGGCGTCGAGAGTTTACGCGACTGGAGATCTGTAGTGTACATCGTTTGTAGTGAACTAACTGCCTCTTTAAAGCCTTCATGTGTGACCGATTCTGTGAAAATCAGTGCTAAGCCGTGAACACGAGTCCCATCTTCCTTGGTAATTATAAAACTGTGCCTTTGAGGCAACTGAAACTGGTAGAATAGTGGGCTACTTTGATTAAATATTTTGAGGCCTTGAGGCATGGTAACCTAAAAATCAATTAGAATAGGATATGTGGTTTAAATACCAATGCAGTTGACTCTTCATCAAAGGCAAAATTTGGAGAATATTCAGGAAAATGTTGAAGGACACGACACTTGTATGCCCGCTCTAGAGGAGGGAGATCAAGATAATCATCACGTTTTTCACCTAAGAAACATCAAATGCATACTGAATAAGTATATATTACCTGAGCTAAAGCTCTCTAGGCCAACTGCATAATCCACACCGCAAATATAAAAGTAGTCAACTATTCGCTCTGCACAGCACATGATGAGTCCTGTAAACATAAAAGAAGTGGTAGATTATCTGGCAAGCATAATGTCTCTAAAATTAAAACTGAAAGTATGACAAATATTGAAAATGATCGTTTTGCACCAAAGAATATATGAGTGCACTAGTGCAAAGACTATAATTTTTAAATAAGTCAGCGGAATCAAAGATAGAAAGTCTTGAAATTCTAAGAGGAATACGGTAATAGCTGAGATCTCTTTGTGATGCACATTCCAGCTTTAAGTCTGGATACTAATTCTTCGGAATAAACATTAACGGCCCAGACCCACGAAGATAAATGGACGGTCGAGTGGTTCGTTTATATCAATTGAAGTTCATCTACACAAGTTTTAAACACACGCTTACATGACTTTGATAAACTATCAGTTTACGACGCTCTCAGTATCTTAATTCAGCCTAAAAAATGTCTTTCGCTCTGAGGGTAAAAACACATAGGCCCTAGCTTTATTGATACTAACTAATACCAACAATTCAATGTCAGAAAGAAATCTTCAGGATTAAAAACTTAAATTTTGACGCTTTTTATCTGAATTTTATCTTGAAAAGCTTATCTTTGATGTAGTTCTACTTGAGAAAGATAGCCTTTGTCTCCTCAGCGTATTCAGCCTATAGAACCGAATTAAGCAAGAATCGCGAAAAAAGGAAGACTCTAGGGAAATACAGGCGATAATTGTTAAGAAACTGGTGTGAATCTAGACGAAATCGCATCAATATCACATTTTTAGCCTAGGCTGAAGGTCAGTAAGTTTACACGTTAGTTGTAAGAATAGGCTTTGCGCCTACTCCCCCATTCTCGTTTAGCCGTCTTTAAAATGCAGCATTTAAGGTGAAATCACAACGCAATGTGCCTGCTATTAGTTTAGGACACATGGTTTTAAGCCTTTGTGTGGAATAAATGGTTATGCTTCTTATGGAAAAATAGACCCAAAACAGTGGATCCTGAGATTGATCATTGGTAAGATTAACAAGAATTTGGCAACAAAAGTAAAATCCAGCAAACTGAAGGCAAAATGCGTATTTCTACACCTAACGTAGATTATTAAGGTGAAAAGTAGACTACTAGGCTATAACAAAATTGTAGACACACAGAACCACCGTGTAGTTCTGAAACGATTTAAAATGGCACTAAATTTTGATTTCATGAATAAAATAACAAAACTAAGTACGCTAACATACTTCAACACAGGGTAATACAGTAGCCCGCTTTAAAGACCATAATCAAATAGCCCTCCGTAACCAGGGTCATATGTACAATATGCAATATATTTTTTGACGAGATTGTGTGAAGCGACTAGCTCACCAGCTGTAAGCCCAGATCACTCTGGAGGCTTATGGGCGTGTAGTAAATGCTCTCTCACGTTGGCGCAGTTTGCCTCAGTGTAGCAAAGCTAAGATATATTTTCTTTCCTCCTTTGGATTTCGTTTGTGACCATGTTAAATATGCCTGAACGATGGGTCACTACTTCCTGATGGTGTGTAAAAATGGACGCCATCGATAAGGATTGATCTTTCGGTAAAATATAACTGGAGTTTGAAGTTTTTTCATCCTTATTTCATCTAGTGACGCTACATACTCTCTTAATCTGTTCCGAGCTTCTGTGACTTATGCATATGAAACCAAATCACGCACGAATCTTTGATAAAGTCCACTTAGTTAAGCTATAGTGTTGACTATTACATAAATAAATATACTAGGCACACTATGTTAATAATATAAGGGTTCCATCTTGCTAGGTGTGTCGTGGTCTGTTTAATCCCGAAATGGGATGTTACTATTTGTATTTTGTTATAGTTTCTATTTTTTGTGCCCTTTTGAGTTACTATGTTTCTTTCCAAACTGCATGATATTGTTTAGGTCAATACTTAATTATGGCGACAGCTATATCGAATTTGATTCTCTTTCTCTTGACGCATTTATCTGGACTGGAAGGGTGCGATTTGGGTCAAAATTTGGAGCCCCTTCCAGAATTGAAAACACTGTGTTATTACATAAGGAGTAAAAGTGTAATATTTTTATGCAATAACTTGTATTTGCGTTTATGATTAATAATAGAACCGTTACTTTTTTTTTTGGAATTTATCTGAGCAAGGAGCGTGTCTAAACTCCCTGAACCGTTATTCCTAAAATCAAAACTCTGTTTTGACTTTACAAATAATGCAAAACGGCTTACAGGACATCAGAGAAACATTTATAATAGGCTGCAGGTTTCTTTCATTACCCCCCTTCACAGGTTTTTAACTCCTGGGCTTGAGTACAATTAATGCCCAAAAGCTAGGTTGTTGTATTGCACATGAGCACAAGCAAACAAACTAAAACTGGTAAAATGATTTAAAATAACAACTTCTTATTTCAGTACTCCTGTAACCACTACACTCAGACTGATAACGAATTTTGTTTTCAATTTGGTGAATGGATATATTGCAGTAGATATAACGTTAGGTTTATCTGTTCATATTTGCGTAATCTGTGTATTTGTAAACAAACGGGCATATTATACAGTTGATATCCTGCGTATGGCTAACATACCATAGAAACACCAATTTCTGAAATTGGTGATCGAGATTAAACTGGTGTTTATGATCTGTTGGCATTCCAGTATACATTGGTATATTGCGCCTTATATCTACCAGTCTTTAGCTTGGCTTGACAAATGAAGCGATGGAACTTTTGTCTTGTGGAATATCTGCTAGTGATAGCTGGATTTGCGGATAAGGTTTGCCAGGTTCATAACATGAAGATGTGACTCTTTCTAATGCAGATTTGCCAGGCATGAGGTTCACTGATTTTGAAATTTTCGATGGTACGGTAATTACACAGACTGTCTCTTCACATAAGAATTATCCAAGCAACTATCTTAAATGTATAGGTTTCTAAATTTTCGTTGGTACTATATAGTTTGACCAGAATCACGCCTAAACATACTTTAAGCGAGTTTCTTTCGACAGTTGAATTCACCTAATAGTTAATGTAAGTGTCAGCCTGTAGCGTTATATGATGTTAACTATTGAAGTTCCCCACTTCACATTCTAATTCCGAGTTGCATGATTTGTTGATACGACCCTCTATCAGGCACAAATCACCGAAGCTGTATATTTTCCCATTCTGCCTCCTTTCTATGGTAGTCACTTTCGAAAACTACGTTCAGTCTTTCACTTTGTGGACATAAAACTCGTAACTTACATATTTTATTGGGTCACTTGGTTACTTTTTGAATATTCTAAAGTCCTTCATCATCCTTATTAGCAATCTTTACACTGCAGTGTGCCGTTCTACGAACTCATGAATCTTTTCTACCAAAGCAAATAGTTGTTTGATATCGGGTAATTTGTCAGTCGTCATTGTCCTATCAGCAACTTCTGCCAAGTTGTTCGGTAATTTCAGCGGTAGAAATTACACGAGAATCTCCAAACCAGCTTCAGATTTTATATCGGACATATATCACAGATATTAAAATATATACAGATGTTACGTAGCTTTATTAATAAGTCAGTTAAATTATGCGGTAAATTTCTAATGGGTTAATGGTCAAGTTAATACACAATTACTTCATGGCCAATCAAATGTTCTATTTAAACAATTCAGAATTTCTCCTAAAATGTCTTCACTGAAGTGGCGATGGAAAGACACAAATACTACTGGTCTTCCTGGCATATTTTTACAATAGTTCAATTTATTTGAAATTTTTCCCTTTGATAACGCTGGTAAAGTGACAAACCAAATGGTGATACTGACCAGGCTGTCCATCAAAATACAAATTATCAATAGTGGGTAGACCAGCATTCCTAAAAGTCGCTGACACGTGTCCAGCATTGTATTCTACTGGCCTTCCACCTTAACATCAGGCATACTACTATTCATAAGTAATAAGTATCCTATTCTTCACTTGCCATGACTAAAAGTATTTATATGCCTTTCCTCGCGCATCTGAGTAAGTTAAGATCAGGAAACATTATATATATATACGACCCGGTTGAACTATTGTGCTTCCTCCGCAAGCACTTTAACCATCATCCTCCTGGTTACTGCATCATATAATTAACCAAGAAGGCATATCAGCTTATAGTGGGCTAATTATTAATATTTCACTAAATTCATCGAGCATTATCTAACTGATAGGACAAACGCAGTTTCGTTGTTGAAGAAACCCGATTTTTAATTTTTAGCGTGTCGAGTCGTGTCGAGACTGACTAGGACCACCACTACAGGCCAATTTCCTGCCCGTCAAAGAGAAAAAACGTTGATCCATTCAAAAGAATATATTAGCAGGCGATTTCATGATATCGAAAGATCACTGTAATTGTGCTAGAAAAGAGGGGAGAATTTACAGAGACAGTAGATAGAAAAACAGCAGTAACATGAATAGAAAGTCTGCGCGTACAGAGTAGTAATAAACAGAGAGGTTCAGTACAGTTGGTTATAATACTGAAAGTTTCTATCAAACCAATCGCGTTCGCTTCATAAAAATGGAGTCACTACAAAGTAATCTTAAGAAAAGTGGACTCTTCATTCTCATAATACGAGTATAAGCATCGAGCTAATCGATTGAATAGTTTATAAAACTCAGATTATTCTATTTTAGGACTCAATTCTCAGTATTCTTATATTCTTATCCCTAATGATTATTGGACACTTAATGTCCAGATAATCATAGGCTGTAGTCACAGCATCAAGGCCATTTATTCAACCGGGTGAAGCGACAAATATAGATGTTCATACTGATTTCAACTTTTAATTAAAATTCTTCTTAAATAACAAACTTTTGTTAAAATGTCTAGATTATATCTGTTTCCTTCCACATTACCTGTAAATCCCAGATTGAACATTCACTGCTTGTGATAACATATTTCTTTCTGTATATAATTCTTCTGCAAAAACAGTAGAGCGATTATTCAGGTTAAGCTGATTTTATTTATTCTATCTAAAAAACTTCTTAGTTTGTGATCCACTTATGGCCCAAGATGTGCGTGGGTGAATACCAGAAACCAACAGACTGAATTCCGTAAGGATCGATCGTGTACCGATCAAATTGCAACACTACGGATCATTGTGGAACAACCAGTTTAATGGAACTCACCACTGTCCATCAACTTCATTGTCTACGAGAAAGCATTTAACGTGGACGGGATGAGACGATAGAGACTTCTTTGACAATATAATTTACTGAGAAAATAGTCAGCATCATGCACAATGTTTATAACGGATTAAACTGCGAAATCATGCATCCAGAGCAGCTCAAAGAGTCGTTTCAAGTGAAGACCGGTATCGGAGCAGCTCTGGAAGGTGTGCAAACCTTTATATACCTGGACAGTATCACTCATAAACATGGTGAATCTGATGCACATGTAAACACACACATTCGCAAAGCAAGCGTAGTATTCCTACAATTGAAAAGTACCTGCAATTCAAAATAACTGTCAACCAACACCGAACTAACATTTTTCTATATGAACGTGTAGCGGTATACATTTACGAATAAAACACAATTGCTGAAATATAAACAGTTATATTTGTACTTAATTTTGACAATAATTGTAATATTGTACTCCTTTTTTATCTGTACTAAAATCTATCTCTCGCGCGCCAGGCGTGTTATCCCCCTTCTGCTTCTCCTACGTGGTCGTAAGCTGCTAGTGTACCCTCTAGCCTCAATATTATTACGATATCACGAGGCTAGCAATAAATATATTTCTTCATCTAGAATCGTCTTTTCTTTGGCTTCTAGATTAACGGGATTAACATTTGTTATCCCTCGAAGTTGTATTTTATTCCGATTCGATATAACTGGTGATCCACAACTACGGGATACGCATTAAATTCTACCTAATTTTTTTAATATTTTATCTGTTGTGTGATATATATATATATATTACAACTACAACAGCGTTAGAAAATGGTAGATAAATCTAAAACTGACGGTTTTTTCAGCCAACTCCCAGATACAGGTTCTTAATTTTCGACCTGTAATGTTTATTCCCCATGACCCAGCAGTCTGGTGTGCGGCACTGGAGTCTCAGTTTGGGATCCGCAGCATCAATAACCAGCGGCATATGTTTGCCTACACTCTTGAGTCCCTCCGTCGGGATCACACAGCCTCAGTTAAAGAGGTCGTTCTCAACCCCACCGTTCCTGTTGCCTATGATTGTCTTAAACAGGCGATTCTTAGGCATTTCCTCCCATCGACGGAGGAACGGTTGTGGACACTGTTAGCACGTCACCCCCTAGGTGACGCTGAGCCAAGCAACCACCTCACGCGC